GACAAGAGGATGACCTATGAGTTGGAGGCTAGCCTAGTCTACATCATGAATTCTTAGCCAGCCAGGGCTACACAGTGAGGCCCAGTTGCAGATAAAAACAAAAAGGTGAGGCATGTTTATGGAAGGAAGAATAGATGGGAGTAGTCAGCCTTTTCTTGGGAACATAGTCCTTTCTTCGAACCCTCTCCCTCTCTATCTGATTAGGGCTATTTCCTTCTTTTTTATATTTTGGCCCCAGTATCCTAAAGACAGGTGAGCGCTTGGGAGGCAGAGGCACATTTCTGTGAGTTCAAGGCCAGCCTGGTCTACATAGTGAGTTCCAGAGCAGCTGGGGCTACAGAGAGACTCTGTCTCAAAAAGACCCCCCCCAAAAGAGGCCTTTAGAAATGACCCCAATTTGTGTCCGTTTTATAGCTTTCCTCCTCCTCCCTCTCCTCCTCCTCTCTTCTTCTTCTTCCTTCTCTTTTTTTCTTGTTTTCTGAGACAGGATCTTATGATGTGACCCTACCTGGCCCTTTGTAGACCAGGCTGGCCTTAAACTTGTGACAATCTTTTCCTGCCTTTGCCTCCTGAATGCTAGGATTATAGACATGGATGACCTCATTGGGCCACAGTTATTCTTGTTAGACCAATTGAATAAGTTGGGACCTTAAAGCCCATTATATTAAAGTATTGACTTTAGTTTGTTTATTTTTTCTTTCTTTCATTTTTCTTTTCTTAAACATTTTATTCATGTTATAGAGGGCTTTATCGTTTGTGTTTTTCCCCATCATTAGGAGTTGAGGAATACGGAATCCATCACTACTTAGATGACACAAGTAAGATTCCAGATTCACATTTCCAGGTACCAAGAGTTCCCTCTAAATGCCACAATCAAATAAGCCTTTGCTTATTTCTACTGAACACAGCAATGCCCATTGGTATCTCTGAAGCATAATCACATCTTAGGTCAGTATTTCTCCAAGTAAAGCAGCTGTTTGGAATTGAATGCTCCCCTTCTTTTTTGTGTTATAAACTGAACTGCATCTTCATACTTCATTCCACATTCAGTCAAAGCAAGTGTAACTAGCACAGGCTCTCTCCCCAATCCTGCAACACAATGCACTGCAACACAGCAACCTGACTCTTCACTACATTTGTTTTTTAACAGGTTTAGCCAATCATCTACTATCTGATTAGGGGGTGGTGCTTCATCATTAAATGGCCAATCTAGAATGTGGATTCCTTCTTTTTCAGCTGGAGCTTTATCATATGTAGCATCACAAACTCGAACCAAAGTTGTCACTCCATACTTCTTAAGTTCCTCTGTGAACTTGTTGAGAGTAGCATTGGTGGGGTTGTGAGTTATCAGAAAATGCATGTTCTCATAAGAGATCTCCACAGGGGCTGGTCGGTTCATTATGGCAAATAAAAAGTGTGAGCGTGTGTGTGAGTGTGGTAGGGAAAATGGAGGGGAAAAAAAAATCAATAAATCTTGAAATGCTTCACAGCAGAAAACATTAAAAAGACCACTAAAATGCCTATTATTGATCACTATTCTCTATTCAACTTGTTTGCTCCTTATGAAAGCTTCTCTCTTCAACATAGGCAGAAGCGTTTAGAATCCACTTGAATCAAATTCAACCTGGGCCTCAATGTCTGCAGATGGATACCTTCAGCCTCCAGAAAATCCAACTCCGTACAAAATTTAAGTAGCCTTTACTGTAACATTTAGGCACTAGTGAGACAAGTTAAAAGTGTAGGTTGTTTTCTACTTTCGTTTACTTGATACTTAATTTTACTGGAGTCCTTAAAAGAAATATGCTTACAATAAAAATTAAAAAAAAAAAAAAGCCAACTGCTTCTGAGGCCAGTCTTGTCTCGGTGTCCAGAGTCTTCAAGGCAATGTTAATTATGGCACATAGAAGCCCAAGCTCACTTGTCAGCAAAAACGCTGTACTGAGCCTGGCAGAAGTCTGCCCTCATGCTCAGAATCACCATAAATGTACACCGTATATTGCAACGAAAAACGCTGGCGAGCTGGGGACTGGGCATTGAAGTCCGGTGGAGGTGGGAGTGAGGAGGTGCCTCTTTCCTCAGTCACCTCAGTGGGCCACCTCCCCCCCGACCCCAGTTTCCTCGCACGATGCCTGGCCCAGGGGCTTCCTGCACTGCCTCGCCGCCGCCACTGCCACTCCATGTGCTCGGGACGGAGGAGGATTACAGCCCTGCCAGGCTACAGATGGCCTACAGATGGCGTCGCAAACACCGCAGCTGGAGCCAGCTCCCACTACTGTTTTGTTTTTTTCCATACGTGTGTGAGAGCATGAATATGTGTCATGGCACACATTGTGGAGGTCAGGACAACTTATGTCAGGGGGTTGGTTCTCTCCTACTGTATGGGTTCTGAAGCACCTTTAACCATTGAGCCATCTCACCAGTCCATATTTATGTGTTATGTATGTGTTATTTATTCTTTGAGAATTTCATACATGTATACCATCTATCTTGTTCATATTTATCATCCAATACAGTATACCTTCCTACTCTTCCCAACATGTCCCTCTCCCAACTTCATGTCTTCTTACTCCTTTTTCTAAATAACCCACTGACTCTGTTTAGTGCTGTCCTCATGTCCGTGGGTGTGGGTTCCTAGTGTATGAGCAGCCTTCCAGTAGCCACATCTCCAAAGAAACATGACTCTTCTTTCCCCAGCAGCCATTAGCTACCAATAGCCCCTCAGCTCAGGTTTATAAGCCTTATCCCATCCGTGGTAGAATTTTGATTGGCTTGATCTTGTGCAGGTCTTGTGCATGTGACCCTAGGTGCTCTGAGTTCATGGCAATGGCATTTCAGAGGACTCCTCCCCATCCTCCAGCTCTTATGTTTTTTCATGCCATGTTCCATGTTACCTGCGCCTTGGGCGGGGGGTATGGGGGAGGAATTGATACAGGCATCCCATTAGAGCTCATCCCATTAGAGCTGAGCACTCAGAGTCACTTATTCTCAGTGCTTTAACTAGTTATGAGTCTCTGCATTAACCAATGTCCACTGCAAAAAAGCTTTTCAGACCAAGGTTAACACTATGAGTATGAACAAATATTTAGAAAGCAGTCTGACAAAGTGAGCATTAAGTAAAACAACAGTTGTAGTTTCCCTCCTAGGACCTGTAACCTCCCCAGATATGGTCAGGCTTACAGTACTAAACATGAATTCCCTCCTGTGGAGTAGGCCTTAAATCCTATCAGAAAGCTTTGGTTACCCTTTTACAATTACGTCACTAGTGCCCTGTAGTAGTGATTCTTCTTTAAAATTTTGTAGAGTGGTGACTCTTAACTGTGGTTGTCCATTGGGATCACTTGGGGCAGCTTTTAAAAAAACTAAGAGATCTTGACACTCTGATTAATTTGGACCAGACTAGAACCTAAGCTTTGGTATTTTTAAACAGTTCTTCACTGGCGAGATGGCTTAGCGGATAAAGCATTTGCTATACAAGCCTGAGTTCTACCCCCAGAATTCACAAAGAAAAGTTAGATGTGGTAGTGTACATCTATAATCTTGACACTCCTACTTAGATATGGAAATCGGGACAGGAGAACTCCCTGGAGTATACAGTATGACAGCAGAAGCAGGAGAGACTACCGCAACAAGATGGAATGTTTTTTTTAAAGATTTATTATTTTTATGGGGCTGGAGAACTGGCTCAGTGGTTAAGACCACTGGCTGCTCTTCCAGAGGACCTAGGTTCGTTTCCCAGCACCCACATGGCAGATAACAACTGTCTGTAACTCCAGTTCCAGGGACTCCAACACTCTCTTTTGACCTCTGTGGGCATTGGATGGCACAGGTGCACTTACATACATGCAGACAATACACTCATAAACATAAATTAAAAACAATGAATTAAAAAAAAAACACATAATTAGTAAAAAGCATTTCATTACAACAGCATTGACATAGTCGGTGACAGTTTCCAGAGCAAAGATGCATCCCTTTCAAAATTGGCTGTAAATTTTTATGTTCACAGTGTTGAATTAATACAGTTGTACATTATTGTACTCAGTATAAACCCTATAAGAGATAAAATTGAATGAGGTTTTAGCCTTTAAAAAAGATCTCTTTCTTTTTAAAATATACCGAAAACAGTAAATTTTAAATATTATTTTTGTTTTTGTGTATGAGTGTTTTATCTGCATGTATGTATGTGTACCATGTGCATCCCTGGTGCCTGCAGAGGCCAGAAAAGGGCATCAGATTGACCAGAACTGGAGTAACAGGTGGTTGTGTGCTACCATGTGTGTGCTGGGATCTGAACTCAGGTCCTCTACAAGTACTCTTAGTCACTGAGCCATCTCTCCAGCCCCTTCAAAGTTGTCTTTTGACTGCCACAGGCACGCCCTACTCTCTCTCACACACATACACACACATGTACACATGATAACACATTAGTTATCACAATGATAACAAATTAGTTTTTGAAGAGAAAACAAAATCAAAACATTTTCCAGATAGGATGAGTATATAACCAAGATTGAGGAACTCAGGATTCAAGTCAAGAGAGAATGCAAAGTCCAATGCTGTAACTAGCTATTATGTGACCTTTGAGCCTTATTTCTTTATAAAGTTGGAGTGCATAAATGACATGATGTGTGATATCTCTTCTGGTTTGTAAATCCTGGTTTCTAAGCCAGCTCCCTACCTTGCATTTGTTTTCTTGTCAGGACCTTAATTTTGATGGGAGATCATCTCTCAGATAATCATTCTTACCCTGTCGTAGTGAGATTTGCTTTTTTCTTGTGGTTCCTAAAGGTCTGCATTGCATTCTAAGTCTGTAATTTAAAAGGCTTTGAAAATTTCTTGATGGAGTCTTTGTCATTGAATATTCTAGGGCGTTAATTTTTCATCCCCTACAATTTTTCAGTAATCTTATTTCAGTGACTGCCTTACTGTCCTGGTATTACTTCATATTGCAATATTCCCCCTGTCCTGAGACCTTACCCTTTTGTTCTCATCTCTTTTAGGAGAAATCTTTGAATTAAAAGCAGAACTCAACAATGAAAAGAAAGAAAAGAGGAAGGAGGCTGTGAAGAAAGTGATTGCCGCTATGACCGTGGGGAAGGATGTTAGGTAATAGTAGTCGCTCTTGCTGTTTAGAGATCCAGACCTCATTTTATGGCCCTTAATTGATTTCCTATAAAAGTCATAGACACTCAGGTGTTATGATGCACACCTTTAGTCCCAGATACTCGAGGGACTGAGGCAGGAGGATCTCCTGAGCCTGAGAGTTGGGGGCCAACTTAGGCAACACAGCAACTCTGTCTCAATAAAAGCAAGCACAAAGAACCTGTGAAAATGGGGTTGTCCTCAGAAAACATCCTAAGGCAGTGTAATTGCTTTTACGTCAGCTCTCTACCTTCAGTGTTTTGTTTTTTTGATTTTTGTTTTACACAGATTTAGTATAAAACTTTCTGAGTCCTGGCACAGTTACAAATCTGTTAGGGAGTTTTAGAAGATGGTAAAAATATTGAGAAGTTGAAGAGCACATATTCTTTAATTGACTCAAGCCAGTGCCCTCAGATTTACTACTGCACATTCAGTTGTTGAGTTCAAGGTGAAAACCAATACAATAATCTTTTAGTCTTTTTTGTTTGCATCTGTAATTTGGTGAGACTGTTTAAAATTAATAAGGCTTGTCTCCAGGCCCCTGCAGATTCCTAATATTCTTTCAGGAGTCCATGAAGCCAAAGCTTTTTTTAAAAAAATTTATTTTATGTGTACGAGTGTATTGCCTGCATGTAAGTGCACCTATGTCGTGCATTGCCATGGAGGTCAGAAGAGGGTGTTGGATCCCCTGGAACTGGAGTTACGGATGGCTGTTAGCCCCCAGGTGGGTGCTGGGAATGGAACCCGGGTCCTCTGTAAGAGCAGCTAGTGCTCTTAAATGTTGAGCCATGTTTCTAGCCCCAAAGCTATTTTTATAATAGTTCTTAGTTGTTACTTGCCCTTTTACCATTTTGAGGTTTGCACTGATGATGTGAAGCAGTGGTGAGTGAAGCTACTAGTGCCTTCGCATAAGTCCAGGTGGTGGTGCTGACCAGGGGAGTCATTCTGTCTTTCACCACCAAGGAAAAGAGATGTTGCATTCGGACTGTCTTTCATGGTGCAATAAAATTTTATTTTATTGAAGCATGAGCCTTGAATACAGGTATTGTAGTGTGTGAGTGTGTGTGTGCTTGTATTTGTGTGCACTTACACCAGCTACATCATGCCAGTGGAAGTCAGGACAGCTCTCAGGAGTCAATTCTCTGCCACTTCATGGGATCTAGGGATTGAATCAGGTTGTCAGGCCCATGTGCAAGCAATCTACTTGCTCAGCCATTTTGCCAGCCCTTTTATCTTTATTATTTTTTAATTTTTAAAATTTTATTTTGTGTGTATATATGTTAGTAAAGGTATTTTTAATACTTGGTGATAAAATGAGAATTGTGCATAAAACTCTTGTACTATGTTATTCCAAAGAATGATAGTTAAGAGAAAGCCCTATGTGATATTTTGAATTACAAGTACCATTGTTAAGTAAAAGAATGATTGACAGACGAACTACATTTAATCAGATTTTGATATTTGGGAGGCAAGTGATCAGAAATGAACAAAGTGAACCTGTAATTTCAAGGGTAAATTTTTGATAATAAATTTCAAGCTTTATAGTGAAAATTAAGTTTGGAAGACTTTGGATCACCCATAATGGAGTCTGACAGTTTCTTGATATATACTTTTCTAAAGTGAGGTTAGTAGTGAAATTAATGGACATGGTATTTGTTGTTATGCAGTAAAATGTTTCAGCATTGGGGGGATTTGCATAACTCAGTAAATGCTTCCTAGACAGCCTCTGCATGTACCATAAAATTATACATGGATAAAGATGTATTCAAAATGCATGATAAATGAATGGATTTTAATGTTACTAAGTAGCTTATTGATACGGTTTTTGAATCTGCATTGTGGCTCTTTAGAAATTATCATTTGTGGCCGGATGTGTGGCACATATCTTTAGTCCCAGCACTTGGGAGGCTGAGGCATGTGGATCTCTGTGAGTTTAAGGCTGGCCTGGTCTACATAGTGAGTTCCAGGCCAGCTGGGGCCACAGGGAGATCCTTTCTCAAAAAAGACCATATATACATGCAGACCATACACTCATAAACATAAAATAAAAATAATAAAATATTTTTTAAAATTTATGTTTCTGTATTCTGCATTTGTGTATGTACAAGACTTACATCATGTGAAATATACTGAGACAATCATCATTCCATTGCCCAAGCTGATTTTATTTTTATTTTTTAATGTTTTTAATTTTTAAATTTTTATGTGTATGAGTGTTTTGCCTGCATATATATATATATAATATATGTATGTATGTATGTGTACCATGTGTGTGCCTGGTACGAGTGTAAGCCAGAAGAGGGTTGTTCGATCCCCTAGAGCTGGAGTTACAGGAAGTTGGCCCTAGAACTGGAGTTAGAGGAAGTTGTGAGCTGTCCAATAGATACTAGGAACTAAACACATGTTCTCTACACACATGTTCTCTACAAGAGCATCAAGTGCTCTTAACTGCTGAGCCATCTCTCCAGCTCCTTAACCTGTTTGTTTGTTCCTGTTTTTCTTTTTGTTTTTGAGACAGGGACTCACTGTATAACCCAGACTAGCCTTGAACTTACCATGTAGACCAGACTGGTTTGGAACGCAGAGAGATCTGCCTGCTTCTGCCTCCCTAGTGCTGAAATTAAAGGTGTGCAGCATCACACCTGGCAAGTAACTATATTTTTAAAATACAGTTTGTACTTACCTTTAAAATCCAAATGTATAAAAGTTCAGTTCTTTTAGGCCGTGATGCTGCTTTGTGAACACAGACACAAATTTCTTAGAGGAAAATGGTAAGGTATGAAATGATGGTCAAGAGTTGAGAAGGGTACAGCTGCATTTATATAAGTAAATAAATCTGCCAGGTGTGGTGGTACAAGCCTTTTATCCCAGCACTTGGGAGACAGAGGCAGGTAGATCTCTGTGAGATTGAGGCCAGCCTAGTCTACGTAGCAAGTTCCAGGAGAGCTGGGGCTACAGGGAAACACTGTCTCAAAAACAAACCAACAAAAGTAAATAAATTCTACCAAAGGGAATTAGGACATCTTGGAGAAAAGGCCGATTCCAGTTTTTGATTAGGAATGTAACAATTGACCATGGGTGAAGCATTAAGTAATTTGAGAAAGCATGGAAACGATAGAAAATGCAGGATCACTTTCAAGGACTTGGGAGCCACCTAAATTCCTACTGGTCAAGAATGAATGTAAATGAGTATTAAAAAGGTAGAACTATAAGGGATGGAAAGATGGCTTAGTGATTAAGAGTATGTACTGTGGGACTGGAGAGATGGCTCAGCAGTTAGGAGCACATGCTTCTCTTGCAGAGGCCCTAGGTTAGATTCCCAGCACCTACATGGTAGCTGACACCCATCTGTACCTCCAGTTCTGAGGGAATCCAGTGCCCTCTTCTGGCTGCTTCGGGTATTGCATACACATGATATGCTTACGTACATGCAGGCAAAATATTCATACAAAGATATGTGTATATATACACACATATATAATATAAATAATTTTTTAAAGAGCTTGTACTGCTCTTGCACAGGACCCAAGTTTGGTTTCCAGTGCTCACACTGGGCAGCTCACAACTGCCTGTAACTCCAGCTCCAGGGGATCCTACACTCTTCTGACAAATCCTTGTCTATTTTTAATTTGTGTTTGATAAAGGTTATGATTTTTCTTAAGTCCACTAAATTATTATAAAAGAAATGATACAGTGTAAGCTGGGTGTGTTGGTACACTCCTGTAATCCTGACACTTGGGAAGCAGAAACAGAATAGTGAATTCAAGGCCAGCCTGGCCTATACAATCAGCCTAGGCTATATTAAACCAACCCTATGTCAGAAAACCAAGGGTTAAGGATGTAGCTCACATGCTTTCTATGATTTATATAATTCAAGGGTTTGGAATATAGCACAGTGGCAGAGCACTTGACTAGAGTTTGTGAGGCTCTAGGCTTCACTTTCATTGTTGAACAGAAAATCTAGAACAACTAGATAGAGATGGGAATGAGGGTTGGAGATGTATATGAAACAAGATTGAGCCTGTGTCAACATTTGTGGGTAATGCACATGTTGGACACACTCTGTTGCTCTCTAGTTTGGTTAAAAATTTTCAGGGCTGGAGAGATAGCTCAGAGGTTAAGAACACTGTTCTTGCAGAAGACCCGGTTCAAATCATAGCACCCACGCGGCAGCTAACAACTGTCTGTAACTTCAGTTCCAGGAGATCCGACAGTCTCTTCTGTCCTCCATGGGTATTGCATGACCACAGGTGCACTTACCTACATGCAGGCAATAGATGCATACACAGAAAATAATAATAATAGTAAAAAAAATTTGTAATACTTTTTTTTGTTTGTTTTTTTTTGTTTTTTTGAGACAGGGTCTCTAGCCCCAGCTGTCTGGAACTATGTAGACCAGGCTAGCCTTGAACTCAGAGATCCACCTACCTCTACCTCCTGAGTGCTGGAATTAAAGGCGTGTGCTACCATGCCCGGCTTGTAATCGGTTCTTTTCCCCCTCCACAAAAACTATTGAGAAAGCTGGAGGGGCGGGGTAGCTCAGTGGTCTGCTGTGTATGCAGCAGTTCAACCCAGTGAACTACAAAAACAAAACAATTTAGAGACCTTATAGCCAATAATACTTTAAAATTCTTTGTTATTCATTTGCATGAAAATGAATTCTCACGGATGTATTGTCCTTGTGTCAATCATCTGTAATGTGAGGTTGTCACCTCATTATTCATCCAACAGCTTAGCACCCACACTGCTTTACTCTTTGTCTCCTCTCCTCTCCTCAGCTCTCTCTTTCCAGATGTAGTGAACTGTATGCAGACTGACAACCTGGAACTAAAGAAGCTTGTATACCTCTACTTGATGAATTATGCCAAGAGTCAGCCAGACATGGCCATCATGGCTGTCAACAGCTTTGTGAAGGTAACGTCCCAAGGTCCAAGCAGTCTTCTCTGCCTCGTACAACCTTTTCAGAAGTGACATTTGGTAGTGTTACTGTCTACATTGCAGATAAGCAACCTCTCTGTTCAAGGGAAGTCCTATAGCAAAGTCCTGGCAGTGAGTAGCAGTGTTCATGTTTTAAGCATTCTATATGCCAGCATATGCCATCCAGGGAAATTGAAACCATATAGTGAGCCTTCTGTAGGTGGGGCTTGGTACATGCATCCTTGCTAGATGAGTAAAAGAAACCTCAGTGTTTTACCTTCCAAGGCTGACAAAGTTTGGAAATATCATTGTATTAGTTACCTGAGGATTTACTTTATCTTTGTAAAAATTAGGAATATGACTCGGAACCTTGTGGAAACTGCAGGAGGCATTACTTTTCTTTGATTTAGCAGGCCTTACAATATTTAATAAAATATTTTTTAGTATGGAAATTTAAAACTACTCAAATAGAGGGAATAGTATAATACTCATCTTGGTTGGGCATGGTGGAGCACACCTTTAATCTCAGCACTTGGGAGGCAGAGGCAGGAAGATCTCTGAGTTCAAGGCCAGCCTGGTCTACATAGCGAGTTCCAGGACAGCTGGGCCTACAGGGAGACCCTGTCTCAAAAAGACCTAAATAAATAAGATAAATGTTCATCTTGTGATTTTAGTAATTACTCAGTTACTGACATATGGCCACTATTCTTAATTTATATTCCCTGTACTTACTTTTCTGACTCCTGCCCCCTCTCCAAATACCATTTTCATGCTTATGCTTGTCAGAATAAGATCTCGATCTCTCCCTCCCTCTTCCCTCTGAAGTAGAGGTCTCACTATGTAGCCCAGACTGACATTAAATTCACAATCTGTCTCAATCTTCTGAGTGCTGAGATAGATGTTTTCTACCACATTGGGCTCAAAACAAGATTTTTTTGAGACAGGAGCTCATGTAGCCTGGCCTCAAAGTCTCTTGATAGCTGAAAGTGAATTTAAATTTCTCATTCTTCGCTTCTACAACCCAAGAGCTGGGATTATAGGCATGCACAACCATAACTGCCTAAAATCTGTTTTCAAAACATAGCCACAACACTATTGTCTCATCTTTAAAACTGGCAAAGTTGGGCCAGGCATGGTGGCACAGGCCTTTAATCCCAGCACTTGGGAGTTAGAGGCAGGTGAATCTTTGTGAGTTCGAGGCCAGCCTGGTCTACATAGTGAGTTCCAGGACAGCTGGGGCTACAGGGAGACCCTGTTTAAAAAAAAAAAAAAAAAAAAAAAAAAAAAAAAAAGCTGGCAAAGTTGGGCCTGGTGAGTTTGAAGCCATCCTGAACAAAATGAGACCCTGTCTCAGAAAACTTATTAAATAAATTAAGTACCAACAAAAAGTTTCCTTAACATACTTAAGTAGTCAAGTTTTTCCTATATTTAGATGTGCTGAGCATAAAGTGAGGTTATTCTCATTAATAATCTCAATCTCTCCTTTTCCCTCTCCCTCTCTCCTTTCAGCATTTGAAAAAAACAGACATTTCCAAAATTAACTTCTATTTGTACACTGACTTCCTTCTTGTAGGGTTTTTTTTTTTTTTTTTTTTGGTCTTTTTGAGACAGATTCTCCCTGTAGCCCCAGCTGACCTGGAACTCGCTATATAGACCAGGACCAGGCTGGCCTCGAACTCACAGAGATCGCCCCCCTCTGCCTCCCAGGTAGGTGCTAGGATTAAAGGCGTGTGCCATGATACCTGGCAGCTTTTTGTTTTCACTTGTGCTTTTATATATGGAACATAATTTTTTTTGCCTAGTGATTCTTAGGAAAGAATCATAAAAAGATTTTAGTTTACATTTATTTATTAATTTTTGAGACAGGGTCTCACTTTGTACCCCATCTGACCTGGAACTTTATGCAGACCATGCTGGTCTCAAACGCACAGAGCTCTACCTGACTCTGCCTCTTGAATATTTGGATTAAAGGTATATACCACCATGCCTGGATTTTTTTTGTTAAAAATAAATTTTTTAATGTAGACAGTTTAGGAAAATATTCCTTCTCAGTGTTCTATCTGTAGTATTTGGAGGGATTTGCTAATATTTGTGGGTTAGGAACTCAGAAAGCCCATTTTGCTGCTTGACTGCAGGTATTTCCATTGGGCCTAATCACCTCCTGTGTTCATCTTTGTTTTGTTGGCTGTAGGTTCCTAGAAATCTTGTCCTCTTTTCTCTCAACCTGGCACAAATAGACTGAGTCTGGAAGTGGAGCAGAGTCTTTCCAATTCTTCATTTTTTTCTTCCTGAGGAAGAATATAAAAACAAAGGTCTTTTCTAATCATAGGGCAAGTCCACTACTAGTTTGGGGATTGGACATACCAACTCACTAGGCTTCTGCCTAGCCCAGAATTGGTTCCTAGTGGGCCTTTCCTCTCTATGTATATAAAGCACTTAAATGATTTCCTTCTAAGCTCTTGAATAGACATCTAAGACCTGTACTTAGGAAAGAAATAGCATGAGAGATTGGATTCTGATGGAGAATATAAGGAAAACTTGTTTTATGTTGAATGCGATGTTTACTTGTAATCACCTTATATGTCTATAGTTGATAATTATTTTTTGTAGGATTGTGAAGATCCCAATCCTTTGATTCGAGCTTTGGCAGTTAGAACCATGGGGTGCATTCGAGTGGACAAGATTACAGAATATCTCTGTGAACCCCTCCGCAAGTGCTTGAAGGATGAAGACCCCTACGTTCGGAAAACAGCAGCAGTCTGTGTGGCAAAACTCCATGATATCAATGCCCAGATGGTGGAAGATCAGGGATTTCTGGATTCACTACGGGATCTCATAGCAGATTCAAATCCAATGGTAATAAACTTCTGCTTTTATAAAGAGAGCAGTATTTAAAATCAGCCCTTTCTAAGGCATGTTTAACACAGATGTCTTCGGGACATGGACCACAAGATAGTTGTGGTAAACATGAGTTCTGTGTAATCTACAGATTGTGCATTTCATACCCTATGTGGTTTGGTAGTCATGTGTAGTTTCTTGTGGTATGGAAATTAAACTCAGTCAAAGTGATTTTTATTGCCTAAATATTGTAACGTACTCTAAATTTTAGATACTAGAATTCTAAGATAGGATTTTTTTTTTTTCTTTTTTAGAAAACTTGATTATGGTCTAAGTTTTTAGCAGCCAGAACATAACACCTTAAAGTTGGATTTTGTGTTTGTTTGTTTTTGGTAGTGCTGGGGCTCACACCCAGAGCCTTGTGCATGCTAGGCAAGTACCATCCCACAGAGATACATCCCCAACCCAAAGTTGGAATTTATTTCCTTTTCAAATCTTAAATTTTGTTTATGTAGTGGAAGGGCCTCAAGTTCTAAGTAATATGTTCAAATTGAGTGATTAGTTACAATGTATTTGTACTAAGAAGATGGAGGATTATTGCCCACTTCCTTTAAGGTGTGCTCCCCTCCACTGTGTGTGTGTGTGTGTGTGTGTGTGTGTGTGTGTGTGTGTGTGTGTTCGTTCGTTCAGGTCCATGTATAGCATGGCAAGCATGTGGAAGTCAGAGGACAATTTGCATGAGTCAGTTCTCTCTTCCCATAATGTGGGTTCTGGAGATCAAACTGAGCCATCTCTTTGGCCCTGGCAATACTGTGTTGTAGAACATTTAGCTGGTACCAGTTTGTTTTTATCACTGTTTGTGGTTTGCTCTATCATTGTGAGCAACTACCTTTGAAATTCTGGATCTGAGAACTGAGGAGGTAATGAAGTATTTGAGTTTCAGGCACCAACCAGATAAGTGGAATATCATGTACCCTTTGGAAACCTATTAAATATTCAGAGGTACTGAGAATGAAATGAGGTACAAATGAATTTTAACTCCTGCAAGCATTTTCAGTTTGGAGGGAAAAAGACATCAGTATAGTAATGTTCTTCCTTATAGAATCTATTAAATTCTGGGGTGTAAGGATTAAAGGCATAGAAATAAGGCTTTTTTTCTTTGTGGGGGAGGGGTTCAGATCAAAGTAGCACTTAGAGATCCTTATCAGGTCAGTTCAGAGAATGCAGGCCTAGTTTCCTGATTTATTCTGTTTCCTTTGTTGAGGAGAGGGCTGGCTTTTATCCAGTCCATAATACTCAAGTGACACGTGCATATCATTTATTTATTTATTCATTTATTTATGTTTTTAATATAGTAATCTTCAAATATATTCAAAATCAGACTACATGAGTATACTAAACACACTCATCACCATATTCAGTAACTATCAATCATTCTAATCTTATTTTACTTGTTTTCCTTCATTCCCTGCCTGGATGTAGTTTAAACAGGTAGCACCTGACTAGGTTTATATTCGAATTTAATATATCATAGTATAATAAACTGATGTTTGCATTAGAACTCCCTATGTAGCCTTTGTCAGCCTTGAACTTTGAGTCCTGTTATCTGAACCTCGTGAGTACTGGGATTGCCATCATTCCTGGCTGTTCTTGACAACTTTCAAAAATTTTATTTTATGTATATGAATGTTTTGCATGCATGTGTGTAAGTGTACTTGTGTTATGCAAAGCCCAGGGAGTTGAGAAGAGAGTGTTGAATCCCTTGGAACTGGAGTTACAGACAGTTGTTAGCCACGATGTGGGTGCTGGGAACTGAACCTGGAACCTGGGTCCTCTGGAAGAGCAACTAGTACTCTTGACAGCAGTTAAGAGCCATCTTTCTAGCCCCTGTTCTTGACAGTTCTTAAATGTGTTTTTACAACAAATTGAGAGGTGATTTGGAAAGATTTCCATAAGTATGTTTGAGGAGATTTACAAAGAAAATTTAAGGTTACTTGGTAGTTTTTTTTTTCTTTTTTTTTAAAGAAACTTTCAGGAATATCTTATATGTTTTTAAAATTGGTCTTTTGTTTATGTTTCCAGTGCTGGATTCAAACACAGTTCCTCTCATGTCCTGGGTGATCATTCTCCCACTGAATTACCCTTCCACCCTCACCTCACCAAGTTGTAACAACAGGACTTTTCTTTGATACTGTCCAGTGTATTGTGCCAGTACAAAGTTGAAAGAGGCCCTCATACACTGGCTCTGTACCTGTGGAAGTCTGAGACAGGGTATTCTGAGCTTCTGTGCCAGGAGTGCTTTGCTGCCTTTCTTGTTCTGACCTTGTTACACATACTCATATTCTAATCATTTTTTGACCTCTTTATTTTAGTTTTTGTGAAGAACTTCTAGTATCACAGTTTCAAAAAAAAGTTATAAAATAACCTTAAAGTGTTAAAATTGGAACACTGGCTTTCCTTTCATTGGTGGAGTCAAATGTTGCAGATAGCAAGTAGACTGAGTACCTGAACATAGACACATCAAGATCTAGTGCTGGCATTGCAAGCTCACTAGCTCAAACACCGTGGAAGTTCCTAAGGTTTAGTATGGTTCTGAGAAATTTAGTTTGGAATGCCTCTGTGCTTGGCACAATGATACAGTATTTTACTTAGTGTTCATGTCTGTCCATGGAGTAGTTGTCGATGTTACAGATCAAGAAATATATACTCTGGGCTGGAGAGATGGCTCAGTGGTTAAGAACACTGGTTATTCTTGCAGAAGACCCGGGTTCGAATCCCAGCACCTGACAGTTAACAATTGTTCGTAACTCAAGTCCCAGGGGATCCGACAGCCTCTTCTGACCTCCTTGGTCATTACATAACATGGGTACACTTACCTACATGCAGGCAATACACGCATACACATAAAATAAAAAGAATAAAATTTAAAAATTAAAAAAAAAAAGAAATGTATACTCTAAACTCTGAGTCATGTGATTAGTAGCAATGAAGCCAGGATCCTAACCTCCTCCTGAGTCTCCCAAACCCTAACTGATCATTGCCTTCATGGATAGATGTATACAGTAGAATTTAAATGTATGTATACCCCACATACTTAGATCTGTTTCATTCTCATTTTTCAAAATGACTGTAATTTTAAACACATGCAGTCTTTAATTATCTGGATGCTGTTTTATTATGGAATTATGTCTTGTTCTGATGATGGAGATGGGTCTTTGTCCTTGCTCTTGAGGAGTGATTTTGTTCCACCTTTTTCAGAGACTGCTCCACACGGTGGGAGCACTGTGCCAACAAATACTAGATTGTCCTAAAGGAAATGAACACTTCAGGGGCTAGCTTAATGTTCTTGTAGTTCCCCTCAGAAGGGCTTTCTAGATAGGAAAGCACCAGAACGCCTACAGAAATTATTTCAGATATTTGAGCAGACAACACAGATGTGTTGACTTTTTAAAATATTTAATTTTTTAAAAATTTTATGTGTATGAGTGGATTAGCTGCACATAGGTAGATACACCCATGTTGGATCCCCTGGAACTAGAGTTATGGATGGTTGTTATCTGCCATGTGAGTATTGGGAATCGAACCCAGATCCTCTCTAAGAGCAACTAGTGCTCTTAACTGCTGAGCCATCTCTCCAGCCCCTGAGATGTGTTGACTTTGATTCCTACCATCATGTGCCTTGCTATATGTATTAGAACTTAGGATTTTTATCTTTTGTTTATGGGACTTCCATATATCTCATTTTCCTGCAATTGTTTTTGTTTGGTTGGTTGGCTGGTTGGTTTTGGGTATTTTGTTTTGTTTTTGTTTATACCTGGTATATGGTACAAACAGGATGATGGCTATATGGTATATGGTTCGTAGGATGATGGCCATAAGATGATTGACTTATTGCAATTATGAAGTAGACTTAGGAAAGATTAACATTAGCTTCATTAATTTAAAAGATGCTGATTCTGTTAATATCCATGCATTTTTTTAAACTTTTTTTTTGGTCTTTTGGAGACAAGGTCTCCCTGTAGCCCTGGCTGACCTGGAACTCGCTTTGTAGACCAGGCTGGCCTTGAACTCACAGAGATCCACTGTCTGCCTCCCGAGTGTTGGGATTAAAGGTGTGTGCCCCCATGCCTGGCCAGATAGCCATGCATATTGATAGAGTAAAATCTTTTGAGGAAATTAGAGTTAGGGTACTTTCAAATGTGGATTTTACTCCCTCTCCCACTTTTTTGAGACAGGGTCTCATTATGTAGCCCTGGCTGGCCTGGAACTCACTATGTAGACCATGCTGATCTCAAACTCACAGAGATCTGCCTGCTCTGCCTCCTGGGTGCTAGGATTAAGGGTACACACCACCACGCCCAGCCTAGCCCATTATTTTGAAAGTAAACTTGTATTCAGAATGAGGAAAGACCATGGATTTATAATGAAACAGCTTCCATAATTTCTTCTCAAGTACCAGATTTTAGAAATGTTGTTAGACAAGTATGTTTTTAAGAAAACAATGCATTTTTGAATGATAGTATTCTCCAGATTTTTGGTCATAAATTAGAATTTTCTTTCCTTAGTATAGTTTTTCTTTTTGCTGTCGGAGGCGTTTTGAATATTCCAGTTGTAGTTGATATATTTATATTAGAATCGGCCATGTGAGGGACTCCCTTGACAGTCCCACTGTTTGTACTTGCTTTTTGGTTTTGAGCTCAGTTCTCACCTGTCTGGCTTACTGTGAGCCCCTTTGATCTCTGTTGTCCAGGCCTTCTATTACTCTCAGAGCTGCCCATGCAGATTCTATTTTTCCATTGCTCTGGCCTCAGATAAAGTATAAACTAATTAGTAAAAAATGTTCTCATTTATTGAGGCTCTTTTGTATAAGCAAGCACACTCAGAATAGCCTCAATTTGAGTCCAATGTAACCTTTAGCAGAGGTTCCAATTAAACTGCCATCTTCTTTTAACTTGAACTTTTTCTGGAAAGTTAGCAAAAATATTTTTCTTCTCAAAAGGAAATATTTTTACTGTTTGTTAGCCAGCATATTCATACAGCATGAGATAATGATGTTGGTTCTCAATTAGGATTAGTTTCGCCTCAATGGGATAGTTAGTCCTATCTGGAAACACTGATGCCACAATTCCTGGGAGGAACACTGTTGGCATCTAGTGAGCAAGAGTCCGGGGATACTTTAAACAGCCTCCAGAAAACAAATTACCTAGCTTGAGTCAAGGAGATGGCTCAGAGGGTAAAAGCAGTTGCTGTGCAATCCTTATGACCTGAATTCAGATCCACAGAACCCATCTAAAAGCTAGTGGGTACCTGTAATCCTAGTGTTCCTACATGGAGGTGGGAGATAGAGCCAGAAGATTTTCCCAGAAGCCTACAGGCCAGCTAACCTGAAATACTTAACACAGCAACAAACATGAGACCCTGCTTCAAACAAGGTGGAAGGTGAGGACTAACACCCAGTGTCCTCTGTATGTGCCATGGCCCATACATGTTCTCATACAGGAACACATATATATATATATACATACATACAATAAATTCTCTGGGTATGGTGGCACACACCTTTAATCCCAGCACTTGATCTACATAGTTCTGGGCCATCTGGGGCTATAGGGAGACATTGTCTCAAATAGTAATAATAATAATCTGACTTAACTGTTGATATCGCTTAGATTGTAAAACTTTGCAGAGTGTACATACCTAATCTGAAGATTCTAAATTCTCTGAAACTTCTTGAGCACTGGTATAATATCGAAGCAGAAAATTCACTTTATGTGATGGGCTGCAGTCAAAATGCCAGCACACTGAGAATATTGTATAAGATTTAGTTTTATCTGTAAAATTCCTAGTATACTGAATTGTTTTGAAGAGGAAGGAATAATTTATTTAGTATTTTAAATAATGCCTGACACATAGTAAATGTTACTCTGCAGGTCTTGAACAGACTTACCATGCAACTTCTGATTCTAATTTTTATTTAGGCATTTAGATAGTTCACATGTGTTATGGTTTGTTGTCATTTGGAAATGTTGAAGTCAGATCTGTCTAGATTGCTTTTGAAGCTGGAGGAGTTTTTATCAGTATATTTGACATTAATAGAGACTGTGTTAAATTGTTAAAGGTAGGTTAAAACACATAGAAAACTTGTGTTGTCACTTAGAATTTAATGATAGGATTTATTTTATCTCTAAGTATGTATTAATAAGTAATACCTTAAAATGAAAATACTTTGTATAAATGAAAAGTATATAGTGCTCTTCATAGAAAATGTCAGTAAAGGAGTTAGAGGGTCAGTAGAATTGTAGGTATATATGCAAGTGCCAGTATGTGGTAAGTACTTGAAGGTAATGGAGATAATATGTTCAGTTTGTATCTGAGTTCTCCAGGTGACTATAGTTATAATTGGTACTGAAGGTCTGGCTGCTATTAATTTGTGTAGAATTGCCATGCTCAGAGGTAGAGCCATTTGAAAACTGCTTTGATACAAGGCCAACATTGCCTAACTCTTGAATTTCTTAGCACTTTGATCTGACCTGAGTGCTTTTCTTTTTTCCTCCTCAAATTCATAGAGATCTGCTTGCCCTGAGTGCTGGGATTAAAGGCATGCGCCACCAGGCCTAATATACTAAAATGTATATTAATTTTTTTGTTTTTGATTAGCATGTATTAATTAATAATGAAACCATAATTAAACATAATGGTTTCATCATAACATTTTCATGTATATAATGTATTTTGATCAAATGCACCTGTTACCTTCTCTTTTCTGCCTCCCACTCCTGTTAATCCCCTTTTCCCAATCAGTCTCCCTTTTACCTTCATGTCTTTGTAGATGTGTGTCCCAAAGAGTTTCATTAGGGCTGTTTATAGGAGAATGAATGAGAGGTTATGTACATACCTTAACAGGGGCTACAACATTGAAGCAAATGTCTCTTTCCCCCTCAGCAACTATTAACTGCCTTTAGAGTCCCATGGAGGTATGGAGCCTCTTGAGTGTCTCTCTGTTCTACAAAGACTAAATTTAAGTTCTGAGAGATTGATTTTTTTCTTGTTTCTCTCTTTTTTTCTCTTTTCTGTCCTTCATCTCCCCTCCTCTTCTCCTCCTCCTTCCATTCTCTTGTATGTAGACCAGAAGGCTAGAGGTTGACATCAGGTGTCTTCTTCAATTGCCCTCCACCTTACTTTTTTGAGTAAGCAAGCTCTTGCCTTCCCAGTGCTGGAATTATAGAGGTGCACCTCTATGCTAGGCTTTTTGTGTGGGTGCTGGGGAACCAAATCTAGTTCATGGTACTTGTGCAACAAGCGCTTTGCAGAGTGAGCCATCTCCCCCTAGCCTCTTATGTTTTTTACTTATTGTTGTTCATGTACATAATGTATTTCTTTCATATTTTCTCCTCTGCCACCTGAGTGCTAGGATTAAAGGTGTACACCTTGACACTCAGCCTTTTGTAATTTTCAAATAATTTTAAATGCCTATTTGTCAGTTACATTAGGAATAATCTGTAATTCCGATGAAAAGTGATAGCATTTCTTTTTGTAGTTACATATATTCTCATATTGGGAGTCAGGATGTGTACTTTCTTGTCTACAGTAAGGTTTTTCACTTACTGTCTGGAGTAAGTATATGTTTGAGATGCCATAATTTACTGAATTTACTATTTCATTGATTATAAGTTATATTTCTATATGCCTAGGAAAAATGTTTCCCATTAAACTGAGTAATTGATTATAAATGCCTCTCAGTTTCAGAGATGTTACTCTGAAAAATTGTGCAACTTTTATTTAATGAAATGGTAATAATTACCACCTTAAATTTTTGTATGGCTTTGTGAAAAGTACTTCTGTGATGAGGCACCTCAGTACTGACCATAGCTACTCCATGTTACAACCCTAGCTGCTCCCAACAACTGTAACCAAGAGGCAGTTGGCTCAAAGTGTGGGCCCAGCTGCACCAAGATGTGGATTTGAGGAAAACGGTCAACAGGTACCTGGCTGCTCTTGCTAAGTGCTTGTTTTTAGCTTCTGTACTTCCTGTTCTACTCGGCTTTCACCTGCAGGAAAAAACTGCTGGGAACTTTTCCACCTCTGAGCAGAGAGTGATGTGGTTTTTCTGTATAAAAGCCTACCCTGCGAAAGGCTCAAGACTGGGCTTGGGATATAACACCCATTGTTGTCGCTGGCCAGCTATAAAGACTTTCTTTCGGCAATTTTCAATGTCTGAGTGGTCTTCTCTGGTGAGACAACCTCACAACACTTCTATTAATTGATAATATGACCTGATTTGTATCCTGAGGCTAAAACTAATCTATTATGTAGATTAAACTATCTCCAGTCTTTAGATGAGGAAACCACATTGCAGAGATCGTGTTCTAGCGCTGTACACTGTGAATTCTGGTCTCAAGTGTATATATTCTCACTCCAAGAAATGTGTTATAATTGACAGTAGCACCTCCCTGTTATACACATACACTTACGGCCCTATAATTTGGCCTAGATTTTTCTCTTTACCTAATGTAAATATTTATTTATATTTTTCTTTTCTTCTCTTTTTCTTCTTTTTTTTGAGGGATCTTGTCCTGTAGCCTGGGCTGGCCTGGAATTCACTATTTAACTACCCCATGCTGGCCTCAAACTTGAAAGAACCCTCCTTGTCTCAGCCACCATGGTGCTAGGATTACAGGTGTGAGCTGATACCCACTTTAGACTTCATGTTTTATAGTTATTCACGTCTTGATTTTATTGATAGTTTTGAGTACTGTTGCAATGATTAATGTTTTAATAGTGACTCATCTGTGACTCTGCTAATATCTGAACTGCTTTAATTCTGGGTTGCCTGATTATTAAGCAGCTGTGTATGCCATCATTGGTGATTTAATACATGTTTTAAAAGCATACATGTTTTGAAATACATATTTTGAAAGCATACGTGTTTTGAATACATATTTTTTTCAGACTTGGTAAAATGTTGAGGCATGAGTTGCAATCTGAAGTGATCCTACAAAACTGATTATGTTTCATAGTTTTGATGTTGTGAGTATATCAAAGTCTTCTATTTCTTTCCCAGGTGGTGGCTAATGCTGTAGCAGCATTGTCTGAGATCAGTGAGTCTCACCCAAACAGCAACTTACTCGATCTGAACCCCCAGAACATCAACAAGCTGCTCACAGCCCTGAATGAGTGCACTGAATGGGGCCAGATCTTTATCTTGGACTGTCTGTCTAATTATAACCCAAAAGATGACCGGGAAGCTCAGAGGTCAGTCTATTTTACTGGAGAGTAGCTGGTGGTCTTGCCTGATGGAATCATGTCTAATGTCTGCTCTTAGTATAAGAAGTCGTCAGTTTAAAGAAAGACAGTGGATTTGTGGGTTGCTATCTCTAGCATTTTTTCTCACTAGATTTAGGAACACTACAAGAGAGAAAATAAACCATGCCCCCCTCCCAAATATCCAGCTGTTTCTATGTGTTTCTCATTTTTTGCTAAAAATCTCCCTCACCATTGTCTTCTATCTCTTAGTTCCTGGCCATCTTGTAAACAAAAGTTGTGAATGTCTCTTTTGTAGTGACACACTGTCCATTCTATTAGATACTTAGAAAGTGGCTTCATGCTCATTTTTGAGCTGAGCAATACCTATAGTTTAGTGCTGTGGCAGCTGTATTGAAGTCAGCTTATCACTAGATATGGAAATCATGTCAGCCTAAATTCAGAGGTTTTGAGAACCATGTCTTGATTATTCTGACCAGCTCTTTACCACTTTCGTGTTGCAAATTTTCTTTGACTATCAGAAATTTATTACTGATTCTCATCAACACATATATACATACATTTCAGTTTACAAAGTTGGAGTACCACCAATTTTTTTAATTGGAGCATATTATGTAATAAGCACTATGCTAGGTAAAGTACTTCTGAGGAAATGTTGGCTCTTCATTAAAGTTGACATATTTTAATTATGGTAGATAAGAACCTTCCTTGCCTGGCTGAAGCTGATTTCCAAGCTGCTAGAATGTAAGTTCTCTTTACTTGTCTGGGAACTTATTCCCTCTGGACTCAACTAATACTCCTGGTAGTTTCTTTCCATTATTGAAAGTACAAGTATATTCTGGAAAGAACTATACCTAACATTTTATTTTCTATTGGCCATTGACATTACACTCATACATTCACTCAACAAATGTTTCTTAGTTCTGTTCTAGGCTCTGAGGATTCAGCAGTGGACAGACAAAAATCATGGTCCTCATGCAGCATTCATTCTGAGGGATGGAGAAAGGAGTATATGCAATATGGATATTCAGTACAGTATATAGTGTGGCCCATTTTGATGGATGCTAACAAAGATGAAGAAAGAGATTTAGGAAATGCCAGATGTTTTAGAGTAAGAAGTTGTAAAGAGGCTGTACTTTATCTTTCTTTCTTTCTCTCTCATCATTTTTATAGTTTCTGTTTTTTAGTCAGAGTCTTACTGTATAGTCCAAGGTGGCCTCAAATTTGTCATCCTCCTGCCTTAGGAATCATGATTTTTTTTCTTCTTCTTCTTTAGTTTTTTAAGTAATCAGAGAAGGCCTCTCTGTGAGGATGACACTTTTTGTGAGGATGACACTTTTTTAAAGACCTGAAGGATCCTGGTCAGGAGTCAGCCAAGTAGACATAGGAAGAAAAGAGAGTAACATAGCCACTTATCTTGTATCCTTATTATTGTGAGCAGTTACTCATGTTGCCCAAGAGCTATCAAAATGAGGTTGATTACAGAGAGTACTGCATGTGTGAATATCCAAGATTTCATGAGGCATCTAGACATAGATAGTGGGGCTACAAGAAGTTGTGAGAATATTGCAATAGTGTTCTGATAGTAAAAACAACAATAACAAAAGCACCGTTTCGGTGTTTCTCTTATTAGCCTGGAAGCAGGAGGTTGGGTAGTTTTTCCTGCCAACCCACCTCTTTCCGTGTCTTAAAATGAAACCTTTAGTCAGAGGTGGGTTGATATCTCTCACTGAATTTGCTTTCAGAATGCTCAATTTGACTTCCTATAGGTTGAGTAGAAATGGGCTGTAAGGCAGGGAGCCCCAACATAATATAGGACTGTAAACATGAAGGTAATTGGTGTGAGCTCAACTGTTTGGGGAATGGCTAGTTTTATTTTGGTTTGAATATCCCTGTTGCTGGTTTCCTAATGTTTTCTGATATCCCTGCTCTGCCTGTAGTTTTCTGGGTATGAGGCTTCTGCAGTGTTGATACCATTTTGACCTAAGCATGGAGCTTTGACTTTTCTAACTGAATCTTTAATTTCTTGATACTTGGGCCATGTAAACATTACCATATTGAATGAATTGAACAAGGATATCATAATCTAAGATACTAATTTTCCCCTTCTGCCCCCAGCATCTGTGAGCGAGTAACTCCTCGGCTATCCCATGCCAACTCAGCAGTGGTGCTTTCAGCGGTAAAAGTCCTCATGAAATTTCTAGAATTGTTACCCAAGGACTCCGACTACTACAATATGCTGCTGAAGAAGTTAGCTCCCCCACTTGTCACTCTGCTGTCTGGGGAACCAGAAGTGCAGTATGTTGCCTTGAGGAACATCAACCTGATTGTCCAGAAAAGGTTGGGAAGTACTGAATTGGTGATGAAAAATGTTTGTAATTTTGAATTAAGCGTTATGTAAATATTCCCTAGACTAGTGCTAATTGTTTTTACTGTATGGAAGTAAAAGTGTTATATAGTAGAGTGACTTGTGCAGGATCAGATGGTTTAGGTGACATTCGGTAATAAGTGTCTCCTGTTGCAGTTCAGGTTGTTTTGTTAAAAACACCTCTTGGTCATGCTTGATGACATCCTTCAAGCTGCAGTTTAGAACTAAGTTATTCTTCCTCAGCACTTCTTTGTGATAACACATACGTAAGCATCAGGTGCCAAATGAAGTTGATATGAATAGAAGAGCTGGAAGGGTAGCTTGGTGGTAGAGTGCTTGCCTAGAGTGTGCAAGGCACTGAGTTTGATGCCCAGTGCTGGGGTTGGGAGAGATTTTCTCCCCTATGAGGAAGAGTAGAAGGAGGGCAAAAAGACACTGATTTGATACTAATAAACTGAGGATGTACCCATACCCTTCACCTTCCTTTCTTGTTTCTGTGCATCATAGGCCAGAAATCTTGAAGCAGGAAATCAAAGTCTTCTTTGTGAAGTACAATGACCCTATCTATGTTAAATTAGAGAAGTTGGACATCATGATTCGTCTGGCATCCCAAGCCAACATTGCTCAGGTCAGGCCTTAAGTGGGCTCAAATTTATGCTGGCTTAGAGCTTGTGTTCTGGCTTTCAGAAGACTGTGAAATTGCTGATTGAGAATCTTTAAAGATTATCCACTTCTTGGGTATTTGGCAGGTTCTTGCAGAGCTGAAGGAATATGCCACTGAAGTAGATGTTGACTTTGTTCGGAAAGCTGTGCGGGCCATTGGACGATGTGCCATCAAAGTGGAGGTAAAATTCCAGTGGGAGTTGAATCACACATGATGGAATTCTGGATTTCACTCCATTCTTTAAAATATTTGTATTTTGTGCCAGATGTGGTGGCCCACTTGGGAGGCAGAGGCAGGTGGGTCTCTGTGAGTTCAAGGCCAGCCTGGTCTACATAGTGAGTTCCAGGCCAGCTGGGGCTACAGGGAGACCCTGTCTCAAAAAGACCAAAAAAAAAAAAAAACAAAATAAAATACATATTTTGAAGTTAATCAGAATAATAAAGTATATAGTTAATGGACTGAGGAACTACTGTCCCTGGTTCTTTATCTTCTCTACCTAGACCCTCTGTTCAGAAAGAATTATTTTTAATTCCTTTTGATTTTTGATATTCCCATATATCTATAAATTTGTTACCGATTTTTTTTTTTTTACGGATTTTTATTAGAGATTTTTTTAAAATTCTTTTTACGTGTGGGTGGGTATGGTGTGGCATGACCATGCATGTGCCAGGGGCATGTGAGAAGATTAGTGGACAGCTTGTGGGAATTGATTCTCTCCTTCTACCGTGTAGGCCCTGGGACTCAAACTCTGGTCATCACACTTGGCAGCAAGTTTCTTTACCTTCTGAGCCATCTTACCTGCCCTGTTACCATGTATTAAAGCTTATTAGGCTTATAGACTTTACAGAGACTGGATTTGGCTTTTATGTGTTTTGCCTGCATGTATGTAGGTGCACCACGTGCATGCAGTGCCTGAGGAGGCCAAAAGAGGGTGTCGGATCCTCTGCAACTAGGGTTACCAATGGTTGTTAGCTGCCCCCTTTAGATAATTAAATCTGGAGGCTTGGTTTTTAGCGAGGTGATGGCTGTCTGCTTCCTTTTGAATCCTAGCAGGGGGCATATACTTTAGTGACTTGTAATTAGTATTACATTGTGCATTGTTTGGATTTGTGACTGGTGGTTGGATTTTTAGGGTCTCTCTCTGTCCTTTCAAAGAACTATCGCAGTGTCAATACATTTATTAAAATTTGTATTCTTACGTATTTTCTTTGTTGGTAAAAGATTAATAGATTAAACTCTATGGTATTTTGTATCATAGATAACTGAAAAGAAAATGAAAGGTGTGCACTTGTATCTGTGGAATATTTTTGTATGCACATACAAAATTTGGTGATTCATTTTAGGTGGTTTATCAACACCCCGAGGGGCTGGAGAGATGGCTCAGCAGTTAAGAGCATTGGATGCCCTTGCAGAGGACCCAGGTTTGGTTCCTAGCACCCACATGGCATCTAACAACTGTCTGTAACTCCAGTTCCAGGAGATCTGGCACCCTCTTCCTACCTTTGCAGGCATTGCACATATGTGGTACACTTACATTCATGCAAGGAAATACTCATACACATAAAATTTTTTATAAACTATTTATGTACTTAATGTGTATAAATGTTATGCTTGCATGTATGTAAGTGCACCCAGGTCATGCAATGCCTGTGAAGGCCAGAAAAAGACTTCCAATCTCCTGGAGCTGGAGTTAACAGATGTTTGTTAACTGCCATGTGGGTGTTGGGATTCAAACCTGAGTCTTCTGCAAGAACAGCCAGGTCTCTTAACTGCTGAGCCATTTCTCCAGCCCCACATAAAATTTAAAAAAAAAAACTTTTTTAGGCACTCTGTGCAGGGAGAGATGACTCAGTGGTTAATAGTGTTTGCTGCTCTGTCATAAAGACCAGAGTTCAGATCCCAGTATCCATATTAGACAGTTCACAGATACCTTAAACTTCAGCTCCCAGGGATCTGACGCCTTCTTCTGGGCTCTGCGGGCACCTGTACACATGTTCATAGGCACACAAATAAATCTTAAAAATAAACCTCTGTGCAGTCTCTAGTCATCTAAGAAGTCCATTTAAAGACCTCCTGCTGTGACATACTCTTTAATCTTTATTCTTTCCTCATACCCTGGCTTACTCTTTCTTGTTTCTATTCTCCCAGCTAAGGTGAGCTTTTATTCATTTAAACTGAATCATCTGGGGGATGGAGATGTAGTTCAGTAGTAGAGTGCTTAGCTAGCTTATGTCATGCCCTGGTTCAATCCTAGGAAGACACACACACATATGCACACACGCACGCACGCACCCACCATGGTGGCACGTGCTTTTAATCCCAGCACTGAGGTGGCAAAAGATCTCTGTGAGTTCCAGGCCAGCCAGGGCTACATAATGAGATGTCTCACAAAACAACACAACAAAACTGGTATATTTCCAGAATTTCTGATATTGACATATTTCAGATAGCCTAGCCTCTAGCTTTAACACATAAGGTGCTTGTTTGTTTAGTTTAGTTGATGCACATGCATGTTTCTTTTTTAAAAAAATATTGTTATGGAGTAGATAACTGATTTATGTTTTGATGGTTCTCTCCCTAGCAATCAGCAGAGCGCTGTGTAAGCACATTGCTTGATCTAATCCAGACCAAAGTAAATTATGTGGTTCAAGAGGCAATTGTTGTCATCAGAGACATCTTCCGAAAATATCCCAACAAGTATGTCAAAGTTCTTTTAACCCTCATCCTCAAATCATGTGAGAAATGTTTAAGAAGGCACTTTGAAATTGACTAGATAAGAAGTATTCTTTTTAATGTAATTGATCATAATAGATACTTCATTAAAATCAGAAATGTATTAAGTAGGTAGCTAACAGGGGCTAAAATTCTTTTATTTTTTATTTTTTTTAGTTTCAAGCTGGCCTCTTAACTGCAGGATTACAGGCACCATGCCCAACTTCTTTAACATTTTTAGTAGAAATGAAGTTCTAAGTCTGTCCTGCTTGTTGGTATAGACTAAATGAAACATACTAGATTATTTTATAGCCAAGTTACCGTTAAATAGTACACATACATTTCAAGGGGTCTAGGCTTGCTCTGTTTATGATAGGTGAATGATTACGCACTTTATCCTCTCAGAAATGTCTTTAGTATGAATGATAAATCATATGGCTACCCTTCCATAAAAACAGGAAGGTAACAGCTATACTCTTTACCTTGTATGGGATCTATTACTTTGTAGAAACTTACAGAATATATTGTAATAAATTACCTGTCTCCAACCTTCCCTGTTCCTACACAGTTATTCAGAACCTACATTTTCACTTTACAGATTTTTCAGATTGAAGCCTCTTAGTTTATGAAGCAAAAATACTTTTCATGTTTGATTTTGAAGGAAAGCAATTAAGAATTTGTAAATTTTTTTCTTTTTCTTTTTTTGGTTTTTTTGAGTCAGGGTCTCCCTGTAGCCCCAGCTGTCCTGGAACTCACTATGCAGACCAGGCTGGCCTTAAACTCACAGAGATCCACCTGCCTCTGCCTCCCAAGTCCTGGGATTAAAGGTGTTCGCCACCACTCCTGGCCCAAATTTTTCTTCTTTAATATGAGAAGTGACATTTTTGGAACAAGGACCACTACTTTTATTACTCTCCCAGAAAAGAGGAAGATCAGGTTTCTAAACTGTTTTATTACAGGTAAAGGTGTCTATTTCAATATGATTAATAGAAAAATGTGTCAGATTTGTGTTAATAAAAGGGTCGTGATAAGTTTAATTTTAAAAAAGCTATCAAAAGCCAGGTTTAATAAGTAGAGATGAGGTATACACTTGACCAAGTATACAGGTTATCCACATCTATTATTCTGTCTCATGCTAATGTTTAAAATTAACTAACCTGCTGGACCTGGTGGCATAGGCCTGTAATTTCAGCTAATCAGGAGGCTGAGGCAGGATCACAAATGCAGAGCCAGCTTGGGCAACTTAGTAAGATCCTATTTCAAAATAATAAGTTTTGTTTTGTTTTTTTCTTTAAAAAGGCTAGGAATATAGAATATAGTTCATTGGTAAAGTGCTTGTCTAGCATATGCTAGCCCCAAGTTCAATCTTCAGTAATGAAGTTTTAGAATTACATTAGCCACGGGGATGGATTCAACATGGTGAACACGAGAAAGCCATAGAGCTGTAAAAATAAAAATAAATGATTGAATTACTCATTTCTTATTAGAACCGAGCATTAGTTTATGTGCATTAGAAAGAACACAAAGATTTCCTTTACAGCCGGGCGCGGTGGAGCACGCCTTTATTCCCAGCACTCGGGAGGCAGAGGCAGGCAGATCTCTGTGAGTTCGAGGCCAATCTGGACTATGTAGTGAGTTCCAGAACAGCTGGGGCTACAGGGAGACCCTGTCTCAAAAAGACCAAAAAAAAGTGTGTGTGTGTGTGTATATATATCCTTTATAAAGGCTGGGAAGATGCTCAGTGGATAAAGTACTTCCTGTACAAGTATGAGGACTAGAGTTCAGATTCCCAGCACCCATAGAAGTCCAGCCTGCATGGTGGCCCACCAGTAATTTTAGCACTAGGAAAGTAGACATGACATCTCTGGCGCAAGCTAAATCGCTGAGCTCTGGTTTCAGTAAAAGACCCTGCCTAGTAAACAAATTGGAGAGCAATCAAGGAAGATACCCCACATCAACCTCTGGCCTCCATGTACATGCAAACATGCATACCCATGAAAAATTGATAGGAGGCAAAGTTATGGTTTATTGTTTTCTAATTTGATCTTCCTAAAAATAAAGTGAGACTTCTTTTCTACCATGAAGACAAAATGCAAAATAGGAAAACTCTCTGTTATAGTTCAAAGAAAGATTGTTTTTAAGGATATAAGATAGTGTGTTTAAGACATTTATAAATTTCTGACTTACAACTCATATAGTCTGTTAACTCAGATCTTTATAGTTTGGTAGTTTGGTTTAGGGTCCCTTGCCTATGGTTTTGACTTTGGTCTCTACTGTTAAATACAGTTCTTAGTTTTGTCCTGGATAACTATAGTCCATTTGTTGTAACAGGTATGAAAGTATCATCGCCACTCTCTGTGAGAACTTAGACTCCCTGGATGAGCCAGATGCTCGAGCAGCTATGATTTGGATTGTAGGAGAATATGCTGAAAGAATTGATAATGCAGATGAGTTACTGGAGAGCTTCCTAGAGGGTTTTCATGATGAAAGTACCCAGGTAAGTTCTCCTCTGTCCTCTGTCCTAGATCTGTTAAAGAAAATATCAAGGGTTTCTTGTCTGTTCATACATCATGTATTTCTCTTTCTCAAAGGAGACAGTCCTGTTTATTAGTACTGATTTCTAAAGTAACAAAGCTGCATAACTTAGACTAGTGTTTCTTAACCTTTAAGAAGTGTTAGAAACATTTAGGGGCTTGTTGAGCACAGGTTGCTGGACTTTACCCCTCAGAGGCTAAAGTGAACTTACCACGGTCTCATTTCTTACCTGATTCAGGGTGACACTGCTGTTCCAGAATCTTACTTCCATGGCAGCTGGTTTACAGCAATAATCAAATTTTTATTTTCTCTCATTTAAGGATGATTATATATCCTCCTTAGTAATTGCTGTGGCTCATTACAGTGCCTCGTGATGAGACTTGAAAAGATTCTCTGTGAATAATTAGATTTCTTCCCATCTGTCCCTCTCTCCTAGTAAAATTAGAACCATGGGCCAGAGAAGCAGTCAAAATATTAAGTGCTTCCTCCTGGCATTTGTGCTCATAGCAAATAGAAGTTTGTGTATGTAATTCATTATAGTAATTTTAATATAAATAAGTAGCTCAGCAGTCCCCTTCTAAATTGTCTCTAATCTGAAATAATTCTGCTGTCTTGGCTTTCCAGTATGTCAGATGATTCTATAAATCCCTCAAATGTGTAAGTTTTGGTAGAAGTAAATAGTGCAAGATTTGATCAGTAACCAGTTTTTTTTACTTTATGTTAGCATGAGGGCTGGTGAGATAGCTCAGCAGCTAAAGGTGTTTGCTGCACAAACCTGTGGTCTGAGTCCCTAGCTAGAATCAGTGTAAAGGTGGAAGAAGAGAACTGATATCTCAAGAGTTATCCTTTGACACCCCCACACACACAGTAATAATAAGTTTCTTTAAAAAAATTTTTTTTAATTTGATCGGGGCTGGAGAGATGGCTCAGCAGTTAAGAACACTGGTTGTTCTTGCAGAAGACCTGGGTTCAAATCCCAGCACCCACATGGCAGCTAACAACTGTCCATAACTCCAGTCACAGGGGATCTGACAGCCTCTTCTGACCTCCGCAGGCACTGCACGACACGGGTACACTTACCTACATGCAGGCAATACATGCATACACATAAAATAATAAAAAATAAAACAAAATAAAAGTAGAGTTGATGATCTGGCCCAGAAATAAGCCATTTTTGATACCAAAAATGCAATTGGAGAATAAAAGACTGGTGAATATTCAATTGAATATGTAGTATTTTAAAGGATACCTTTGGCTGTTAGTAATGATACTGGCCTGAGTTTTAACCTTTTGTCTCTTAACCAAAATCAGAAAGGCCTTAGTAATTCATAGTTGGGGAAACATGACTTTGGAGCTGCTGCCTCTCTTTTACTTTTTTGAATTTTTTTCTTTCTTTTTAGGTACAGCTCACTCTGCTTACTGCTATAGTGAAGCTGTTTCTGAAGAAACCATCAGAGACACAGGAGTTGGTCCAACAGGTCTTGAGCTTGGCCACACAGGTGAGAGATCTGAAAAAAAAATGAGGTATTGATTTGTGTTATTTCAAATTTTAAGAATTTATGAAACTTCTAAGGTTTGTTTGGGACAAGCTTTAATTCTGAAAATATTAAAGTTATGCCTCTTTATACATTCTGCTAAATTAAAGCTGGCTAATGTAGTTTTTAGATCAGCTTGATTCCAATTTTCATGAAATTTGAAAATTGAACTTAAATTGTACAGTGTTAATAGTGGAGCTCCATATGTGAAAATACCATTGAGTCTGCTAGCTTCTGGGTGATGTCAGCCTTCCCATGGAGTTCTGTATACTTGATCTTCCTTTCAGATTGTCTGCCTTTCTCAGAGATCATTTTAAAGTGCTTATACTGCTTCCTTGAATTATTTTGGCATTTGAATTATATGATGCCTTAGTTTCTTTTCCTGTCACCATGATAAAATACTATGACCAAAGAAACTCAAGGGAGAAAGAGTTTATTCTGACTCATGGTTCAGGTTACAGTCCATCATGCCAAGAAGTCACAGAGGCAGGAGCTTGAGGGAGCTTGTCACATTGCATCATCAGTCAGGAACAAGCTGGAAATGCATGCATGCTGCTCAGTTCCCTTTCTCCATATATACATCCAGGATCTCCCACCCAGGGAATTATGGGTATCACCCATAATTAAGAGGCATTTTCCCATATCAGTTAACATAATCAAGATAATCCCTTACAGTCCTGCCCAGAGGCCCACCTCCCAGGTGATTCTAGATTCTGTCAACTTGACAGTTAATAGTAATCATCATATAAGATATTTTTGGTTAGAAGAAAAGAAGTTCAGATGGATTCTGGTTTTAGGAATGCCACAGGCTTTAAAGGTCAGGTCACAGCTAGGCCTAGTGGCACAGGCCTATAATTTACCAGCTACTTGGGAGACTTGAGTTAGGAGGGTTAGAAGTCAAGGCCTGCTTGGGCAAATTAGTGAGACCCTACCTCAAAATATATTTTTTATTGTTTTTATTTTATGTGTATGAGTGTATTGCCTACATTATATAAGTGCACCTCTGTTGTACAGTGCCTGTGGAAGTCAGAAGAGGGTGTCAGAGCCCCTGGAACTGGAGTTAGAATGGTTGTTAGCTGCCATGTGGTTGTTGGGAACTGAACCTGGGTCCTCTGCAAGAGCAGCGAATGCTCCTAACTGCTGAACCATCTCTCCAGCCCCTCAAAATAAAAATTGTTAAAAAGCTGGGGATATAGCTCAGTAGTATAGCACCAGCACATGCAAAACTATACATTCAGTTACGAGCACTTGAAAAAAAAAATAAGATCAGCATTTCAGATCCATAGAAATCAAAATAATTTCCTTTTCTAGTGTAACTAGTATAATGATCACCTGTCCATCATTGTTTAGTAATATTCTTAATTGAATTTGAGAACAAGCTGGCTTTAGCAGAATTGTCAGAGTTAAAATGTATATCTACCTACACATGAAATCGGATTCAAATGTTAACCATTTTTCTGTCTTTTTCATCTCTAGCAAAGTTTAAATCCTTTCTGTAGTACTTTGCCTAGTCTTAAGCTGTTATTTTTCTTATTAATTTTATATCTTAAAAATTTGTTTTGGGAGGGCTGAAGAATTAACTTAGTGGTTAAGAGGGCATACTGCTGATGGGGCTGGAGAGATGGCTCAGCAGTTAAGAACACTGGTTGTTCTAGCAGAAGACCCAGCTTCGAATTCCAGCACCCAAATGACAGCTAACAACTGTCCATAACTCCTGTCCCAGGGGATCCAACAGCCTCTTCTGACCTCTACAGCATTGCATGACACGGGTATACTTACCTACATGCAGGCAATACACCCATACACATAAAATTTAAAAAATTATTTTTAAATGAGTCAAAAAAAGAGTGCATACTGCTGCTGCAGAGGTCCCAAGTTTGGTTCCCAGCACTCACGTCAGGTGGCTCATAACCATCTGTAACTCCAGCTCAACTGTGAACCTAAAACTTTACAGCCACTTTTGAAAGAGATGTATCCTTGCTCTGGAAATTGTTATTGAATATGTTAAAGCTGTAATGAAATGCTTCTTCTAATTGTGTGGTTATTAAATTTAAAAAATAATATTAAAAAATTTTTAAAGAGCTCTTAAAAAAATTTCTGTATCTGAACATTATAGACTTCTTTTTCTAAACCCTTAATTAATAATTCTTGAGTTATTTGTATCCCTGTTAGAGAAATTGATAACAATTTGGTTTTTTTGCTTTGTGTGTGTGTGTGTGTGTGTGTGTGTGTGTGTGTTCATGTGTCATCCATGTGGTGTTGAGTAGACGACATTCAGGAGTTGGTTCTCCTTAGGATCCAGGAATCAAACTTAAGTCATCAGACTTGCACATTAAAGTTCCCCTAACCTCCAAACCATCTCACTGACCTCACATTTGGTTCCCCCTCCCATGCTCCTATTTCTTCTTTTAATTTCAAACTCTAAATGGTCATAGAGAATGACAGAATTGATCCAACTTACATTCAACTTACATTCCATCAAAACAGTTTCTAAGAGGAATTTTGGCGTTGCTCCCTCTCTACTCACATATAAAACAATCAAGAAAATGTCTCTGGTAGCTATTCTTGACAGACTTTCTACTTCATTATCTACTAAGGCTTGTGTATCTATTAATAGGCAACATAAGAGAGGCATATTTTGGATTTTCTTTCAGGGTTTAAATGCAATCTGATTACATACTAATATTTATAAAAATTTGACAGTGCACACCTTTAATCACAGGTTCTGAAACAAATCAGCAATAGTATTGAGGAGGTTTGTCTGAAGGCTACGAAGTTGTTCTGCTCTCACAAATAGTGTGAAGTTCACCTGTGAATCAAGCCAGATTAACAGAGGAGTAGCTCGACTGCCTTGTATTTTGACTCCTACTAGAAGTTACAGCTTAGCAACATAGATTCTATCTCAAGTTAGGTAGGTTGTTAGATAAATAATGAGGGCTTCTTTTTAATTACATGGCATCATTTAAACAACTCAATACCAGAAATATTTATTGCCACTTCGTAGTATTCACAGAAAGATACCTGAAAGATAAGAAGGCAGAACAAATGAGGCAGTAATTTAAATGTTCTTTAGTGAGGGACCAGTAAAAAAGGTATCATGTGCATATGTAATAGTACACTACAGCTCTTTGTGACATGTTAGAAAGGAACTTGTGGATCAGTATATATAATATGGAACTGGTTATTATTAAGTAAGTATATGTGTATATGGGAGCTGTCTAGACAGAAATATACCACACTGCTAATTATGGTTGAGGAATGGAGAATTGAAAGGGAGAAAAGGGATTGGATAATTGGAGGAGGCTTCTTTTTAGATTATATCCTTATAAATTGTTCTGTGGCATGATTATAGTTCTTTTAAAGCCATGAACATGTATAAAATTATTTTAAAGCCACAACAAAAATACCACTAAATCTAAGGGCTACTCCTTTTGAAAACATTTATATATATAAACTCTTAAATAGTTTGTTATTTTGGTCTTTCTAATTTAAATAATAGTACATTTGTGAGTACTTTAGTCAGGCATTATATATAGTCTCTCTTTATTTCTATGACCTAGCCAGTGTCTCCATAGGAGATGCATATGCATATTTGAATCAAAAAGGAATGTATTAAAATATATGTAAGGTATGTATGTCATGAATATTCCTTCTGTTTTTTAATTTTTTAATAGTGATTGATTGGTTGATTGACTGTGAGATAGTCTTGCTGTGTACCCCTGGTTGGCCTCAAATTCATACAATCCTCCTGCCTCAGACTTTTGAGTACTTGAATTACAGGTGTATACCTTCACACTTTGTTGATGAAGTCAGTTTTGCCTTTTTAAGATGACACATTTTTACTACATACAACAGTATGTTTATGGAGGTCAGATGACTACTTATGGGAGGCAGTTCTCTCTTACCATATAGGTCCTGGGGATTGAACTCAGATTGTCAAACTTGGTAGCAGGTTCCTTAACTCATTCAACCATCTTGCCAGCCTTTGACATAATGGTTTTTAAAATACTATTTTTATTTCCTAAGGCCAGTTAATTTTATGGGCTGAAACTTTTTTCTTCTTCCCAACTGTTCTAGTTAGCCTTCCCATTGCTATGATAAACACCATAACCAAAAACAACTTAGGGAAGCAAAGGAAAGGCTTACAGGCTGTCCTCTTTTAGGGAAGCAAATGCAGGAACTCAAGGCAGGAGCTTGAAGCAGAAACCATGGAGGAACACTGCTTTACTGGTTTGCTCCCTCTGGCTCATACCCAGCCGGCTTTTTTATATTAATCCAGGATCACCTACCCAGGGGTAGCACTGCCCACAATGGGCAGGGCCCTCTACATCAATAGCAGTTGAGAAAAGGCCAATCTGATTGAGGCACTAGCCCCGATTAAGACTCTTTCAAATAACTTTGAGTTGTATGAAGTTGACAGCTGAAGCTAACTAGGAGACCAACTTCTCTGAATTTGAGTCCTAGCACTCATTTCAGTTTAAGTTCTTTGAAACATTAGACATTATAGACTTATGACTATTTCAACTGGGTAAAATATCTTTTCTTTTTAAACTAGCTCAAATATCTTTTTAATAGCTAGTTTGCATAAATCACTACAGGATTGCTTGACAATAAATCTAGCACTTCCTGTGCTTTATGGAGAACAGTTTTATCTAAACCTTCTTGCACTTGACTTTTCTTAGGATTCTGATAATCCTGACCTCCGAGATCGGGGTTATATTTATTGGCGCCTTCTTTCAACTGACCCTGTGACAGCCAAAGAAGTAGTCTTGTCTGAGAAACCATTGATCTCTGAGGAGACAGACCTTATTGAACCAACCCTCCTGGATGAGCTAATCTGCCACATTGGTTCTTTGGCCTCTGTGTACCATAAACCTCCAAATGCTTTTGTGGAGGGGAGTCATGGGATCCATCGCAAACACTTGCCTATTCATCATGGGAGGTAAGCAGGTGAAGTAGGTTTCAGTGAAAAGTAATTCTGTTTATATAGAGTTGGGTTTCCTTCTACTTTCATAGCCTGGAAAAGAATTTGCTGTGCATTTTAGAATCTTACTGCTCTAGGGAGCTGCTTTATCAGAGTCCCATACTAGGAGTATAAGACTGTAGAAGACTGGTGGAGACCTGTTTGATAGAGTTTGAAAGTTGTTTATATCTCCAGTAAAATGACTCTAGGAATAGTCCCAAGGTTGAAAACTTGGAGGAGGGTACTATTTTTACACTTAGCAATCTTTATCCTTTACAAGAACTTTGGTTGAGGTTTATAGATAAAGTTATTAGATACTAGGTCTGGGAAGATAGCTCTATCAGTAAAAAGGAAGAACCTGGATTTGATCCATAGAACCCACAGGAAAAAAGCTGGGCATAGTAGTGCGTACTTAATAATCCCAGCACTGGAGAGGCAGAGACAGGAAAATCCCTGGGACTCGTGACCATTCAGACTAGCCTAATTAGTGCATCTCAAGTCCCAGTGAGAGACACTATCTCAAAAAACAAGGTGCCTGGGAAATAACACTGAAGCTGTCCTCTGTCCGCCAGATGCCCATTCACATGTGTGCATACATACACAGATACTATTTCTCCTGTATAAATGACTTCTTTTTTTGTTTTTTCTCCTTGGTCTTTTTGAGAAATGATCTTCCTATAGTCCCAACTGGCCTGGAAGTCACTGTGTAAACCAGGCTGGCCTTGAACTCACAGAGATCCACCTGCCTCTGACTCCTGAGTACTGGAATCAAAGGCATGTGCCACCACACCCGGCTATAAATGACTTCTTATGATAAAACTATTAATGAAATAATTTTTGTGGGATTGCTTTATATAAACATCCTAAATTCTGTATGTGGTCATAGCTTTCAATTATGTGTGCCTGTTTTTTGTTTGTTTTCTTGGTTTGTTTTATCAGACTAGGTTGATCAAATCACTAAGAACAGTCTGGTAGGAACAAACTCTAGGTAACATACAGCTCTTGCTTTTGTAGCTGCCTCAAGTTGTGAGGAACACCTAATAAACCCTTTCTGATTTTTTTTTTTTTGGCAGGGGGGGTTTTTGAGACTGTCTCCCTGTAGCCCCAGCTGGCCTAGAGCTCACTATGTAGACCAGGCTGGCCTGGAACTCTCAGAGATCTGCCTGCCTCTGCCTCCCAAATGCTGGGATTAAGGGTATGTGCCACCACACCTGGCCTCTGATTTTGTTTTTTGTTTTTTTTTTAAGACAGAATCTTATGTAAACCAGGCTGACCTGGAATTCATTGTGTAGCCAAAACTGGCTTTGATCCTCTTGCCTCAGTTTCCTGAGAAAATGGGATTAGAGGCCTGCACTACCAACTCTGGCTTATACTAAGATCTCTATCAAAACTTATTTGTCAAGAAGCAGAGTTTAGCTGAGCTGCCTGGCAGAGGCTCAGACCAGCTGAGCTACCAGCAAAGGATACTCTCTGACCTGTTGAGCTACCTGCAGGTTGTATAGTGTGCTCCTGGGTTTCCTGCTTTCGTGAGCTGTCACCCATGCTGGGGTGGGCTTTGATAATATAGCTAGCTGTCTTTGAGTTTTTTCTGCTCCTCACATTTCTGAAACACATTAGGAACTGGAAGAAACACCGAAGCATGTTATGATCTGAATGACAAGGAATGGCTTCAGTTTCACAGTAGTTGGGTTCTAAATTGTCTCAAGATTAAAAAGAATCAACTGTCTTAAGTGAAAGAAAACAACGAAATCTCCATGTCAAACCAGGCATAGTGGGACATGGAGAGGCAGATGGATCTCTGTGAGTTCCAGGCCAGCCTGGTGTAAATAGTGAGTTCAAGCCAGTCATGGCTACATAATGAGACCCTGTCCCCAACAAAACAAAACCTCTTTGTCCATTTGTACTTTATTTTGTCTTTAAGGGATATACAAATACAGGAAAAATATCTTTTGATATAAAAGGGGATAATCAATTGCTACATGGCATGTTTGTAAGGTTATTTATTGCCTACCTTTTCCAGCATAAAATGAATAAGCAATACATTTTTTACAATTAAAAAAATTTTTTTTTAATTTATGTGTATCACTGCATGCAGTGCCTGCAGAAGCCAGAGAAGTGGGATTCCCTAGAACTGGAGTTATGGGAAGTTGTTAGCTATCATGTGGGTGCTGAGAACCAAACCCAGGTCCTCTGAACCATCTCCCCAGCTCCTAAAGCAACACCTTAAAGCTTTAGTCTGCTTCTTGTAGAGGTTTTAAGAGGTTAATTCACTACGTCCTTCAAAATGACTTGAAAAAGTGTGAGGTACTCACTACCTGGGTTTGCTTACTGTACTTTAAATACTTGTCAGCTGCTCTAGGGAGGTGAGGCAATGAGTAGTTGTCCAATTTAGAAAAGGCTTGCCTTTTAAATACATTTCTTTGATGACATTTGTGCGGTTATTTTCCATTACTTCATAATAGGAAATACTTAGATACTGATTTTTCTTGAATGTATACTCATAATTTATCATATTCTTTTTTTTTTAATTTTTATTTTATGTGTATGAATGTATTGCCTGCATGTATGTGAGTGCACCCTTGTCGTGCAATGCCACGGAAGTCAGAAGAGGGCTTTGGATTCCCCTGGAACTGGAGTTAAGGACAATTCATAGCCGCCATGTGGATGTTGGGAATCAAACCTGTGTCCTCTGCAAGATCAGTCAATGCTCTTAACTGCTGAGCCATCTCTCCAGCCCCAGATTTATCATATCCTTTCAAGTTTATTTTGCATTAGGATTATTTCCCATCTGACTCACTTTCTTACAATACTCTTCCAGTATAGTGAAGACTGTTCATTGTTACCCTTTCTGATTTCTGTTTTAAAGTACAAATAAATGTATTCTTTTATATTTCCTAGATGACACTTGAAAGATGGCAGAGTTTCATATGTAAAGACTAATCTCTGAAGGTTTCATGTATTCTTATAAAGTGTATGTGAGGTCATCTTCCCCTTTGACTTTTTTATTTGTCCCTTCTTGTCATGGCTTTCTTGATAGTTACTCCCAAGTCATCTTTCTTAGATTGTCTTTCTCTTTACACAATATGTGTATGTGGCAGAGACATCTTAAAGGAGGAGGGCTTAGTTGGGCTCACAGCCAAATAAGGTACTTCAGTCCCTCGTAGGGAAGGCAAGGCTCCAGGAGCACTCCATTCATAGCAGGAGGAGTATGAGGAAGCAGTTCATTCGTGTGGCAGCAGACAAGAAGCAGAGGATAGCAGGCTGGTACCAGAGACGTTAGCTTTCAGCAGTCCACCCCTAGTGTTCCACTTCTGCCAACCAGGCCCTACATCCTAAATGCTCCACAAAGCTGTGCCACAAGCTGAGGACTAAGCATTTAAAACATGATCCTCTGAGAGACATTTCAGATCCAAACCATAAAGTTTCTCCTTCCCCTTCTCTCACAAGTTCATGGCCATTTCATCTTACAGCTTTTATAATATTCATTCCAACTTCAAAAGCAGGGATAGTATTAACATTGTCAACACTATTGACACGTCCAAAGTCTCTGCTGAGACTCAAGGCAAACTCTTAGTTATGAGGCCCTATAAAATCAAAAATAAAATTACATACTTTCAATGTAAAGTAGCACGAAGCAGACATTCCCATTCCAAGGAGGAGGACCTGGAAGAATGCAATATAAGATTGGACCAAAGCAAGACCAAACCCATCAGCGCAAACACCAAATCCTGTAGATCCATGCCCCACATGTAGGCACTTGATGGAATCTTCTGAGTTCCAGTGGTCTTTAGCAGCCAGGTCCCTAATGTTATAGCATACAGAGGGCCAGCTCTACTCCATGCCTGCAACTTTCCACAGCAGGTATTCCATGTCCTGGCATCTCCAACATCTTGGGATCTCTGTTGTTACTTAGGCTTCATCCACATAGCTTCCTTTCAGAGGCTATTTGCAGGGAATCTAAACTTACTGCACACTGTTTGACCTCCCAGGCTTTTCTCTGGAATCTTGGTACATACCTCTGTAACTCCTAAATACTTTCATTCTGCATGATCACAAAACTGGTACCACATGGACAATATCAAGTTCTGTTGCCAGCTCAAGTAGTCAGATGCCAAAGCTTAGACCAAAGTAGCAGTGGTCTTTTAAACATTTTCCTAGGTGTATCTTCTCTAGCAGAGGCTCTTTTTTAGACATTTTCCTTTCAAATGTGTTTGCATTTTTGCACCCTGGGCATTGGGTATGAAAGGGATCTCACCCTCAGGGAACCTGTCTGATTATCACTGTGAAGTATGTTATTGTGGGACACTGTTCCTAGGGAGACATGAACAAATGTCTACTCACTCCAGATAGGGAACGAGAGACCAAAGTAAGGATAACCACTAAAATCCAACTTGGTGAACCAATCAGTTTTATTGGGATTACTTATAGGAATATGAGTGAAGGGTTACGGGAGCAGAAATGACTCACAGATAGCTTCATTACCAAAGGCTGCCCCAGCATGGTTGACACCTCACAAAAGCAGGAAACCTGGAGTTTGCACAGCTTTCAGGCAGCTCAGCCTCACTTGAATTTTCAGGACAAAGTGAAACGGCCAAATTCTTTGCCAGAATGTGACATGAATGTCCTATAACCCAATCTTCAAAACTCTTTGTTCCCATCTAAAACCTCATCAGCATACTTTTTACTATCTACATTTCTCGTCTTTATGTACTCCCAAAAGAACTGTCCATTAAGCTCTGTTAATAACAGTTTAGGGCTTTACTATCCTGTTTCTCCAAACACTTCCACATTCCTCCTGTAAACCAATTTTGAAGACCTAAGAATTACAATAAAGTTTATTTCATCAACAACCCCACTTACCTAGTATAAGTTACCTGTGTTACTACAGATGGGATTTAGAATCAAAATGAAAATAAATCTCTAGGCATGTCTGTAAGGGATTATCTAGATAAGGTCAATTTAATTGCAATGGGAAAGACTACCTTAAATGTGGGCCATACCATTGCATGGTCTGGAGGCCCAGACTGGATAAAAAGGAAAAAGCAAGCTGAACACAAGCTTCCTGATTGGACGGTGTGACCAGCTGACTCTTGCTCTTGCCACCATCTTGTATTGTCAGACTATGAGCCAAAATAAAACTCTTGCTTCCTTAAGTTGCTTTTGTTGAATATTTTGTTATAGCAATGAGATAAATAACTAGTACACTTACTTTTCTAATCACAGTGGCAAAATACCTAACAAACAGTTTGAGAATAGGGTTTATTTTGGCTCACAGTTTAAGAAGAATTTTGCTCTGTCTTACCAGAGAAGGAATGGTGACAGGAACACTCTGAGTGTTCATGGCAGCAGGCAGGTGAGGCAGCAGCTTGTTGGCATAGTTGTGAACAAGAAGCAGAGACAGGTGTACCTTTCAGAAGCTCACTTCTAGTGATCTTCTGCCAACCAGGCCCTGTCTCCTAATGTTCCACAGCCTTCAACTGGGGATTGCGTATTCAAACCATGAGCCTGTGGGGACATTTCATCTTCAAACCGCAACTCAATGTTCATTCTCTCCCCTAATTACTTAACTGATCTAGGTTACTGTAAAAGGCTCTGTCTGAACCTTATCTTTGAGTTTCTCTTCATGCTCTCTTTGGGAACTTACCTCCCAATCAGCTACTGCTGATACATTATAAGACTTTACCACCAACACCATGTTTTCATTGGATCCTTACCATAGATACCTGGTTTAGGTGGTATGGTTTTCATTTTATTGATGAAGAAACTTTGTAACAGAGTTGTCAATACAATTAGCCTTTTGTCAGCCTACAGTTGATCTTGGATTTCTGATTCTAGATACCCTGATCTCACCAACACAATTTCCCTTGGTGATTTGCTTGAGATGTGTAAATTTCTTTCTAAGTTCATTGCCCAACTCTGCCAGTCCCTTGTCTTTAGTTGGACATCTGTAACTGTTTTTCTAAAAACACAGCAGAATTAAGCACCTTGGATCTGTGGTTGTAGCTCATTGATGGAAGGTTCTTAGCATGTGCAGTCCTCAGCACCAGAACAAAAAGAACACCTGAGCATCTTACTTTTTTTTTTTCAATCATTCTTCTGCAGTCCCTAGTAGGAGTCCCATGTTCTTTTTCTTAATGTTAGCTGTCTTAGTTTCATTCTCCGTACTTCTCTATAGTCAAGTGTTGTCAGAATGTCTTTTGTTTTTTGTTTGTTTTTGAGATAGAATCTCACTGTGTAGCTCTGCCTAGTAAATCAGGCTAGCCTTGATATCACAGATTCACCTTCCTCCCAAGTGCTGGGATTAAAGGCATATGCCACCATGCTTAGCACATGCTTAGGTTTTTTTAAATTATTTCAATTTCTTTTTCTCTCTTTTTTAAAAAATATTTTTTATTTATTTATTTTTATTCTATGTGGATGCATGTATTGTCTGCATGTAGATAAGTGCGCCTGTGTTATGCAGTGCCCGCAGAGGTCAGAAGAGGCTGTCGGATCCCCTGGAACTGGAGTTATGGACAGTTGTTAGCTGCCTTGTGGTTGCTGGGATTCGAACCCAGGTCTTCTGCAAGAACAACCAGTGTTCTTAACTGCTGAGCCATTTCTCCAGCCCTCTTTTTCTCCTTTATTTATTGTATATTATGTTTGTATACGTGCATCCCACAAGCACACATGTGGAGGTCAGAGGACAACTTGAAGGAGTTGTTTCTTTCCTTCCAGTGTGTAGATTTAGGGATTGAACTTGGCCAGAACCTTTGCTTGCTGAATCAACTCACCAGCCCTATTTCAATTTCTTAATGCATTTTTGCCGTGTTTCATAGTTACACGTGTGACATTCACTTCTTGCCTTGTTATATCTTGGGTGAAACTGACTTACTCATTTTTCCTGTTTGTGTTTGATTGCAGCACTGATGCAGGTGATAGCCCTGTTGGCACCACCACAGCAACCAACCTGGAACAGCCACAGGTCATCCCCTCTCAAGGTGACCTTCTGGGGGATCTTTTAAATCTTGACCTGGGTCCCCCAGTAAATGTGCCACAGGTATCCTCCATGCAGATGGGAGCAGTAGATCTCTTAGGAGGAGGACTGGATAGTCTGGTAAGCATCTTTCCTCTCCTTTTCTTTTGGTTATTTTTAGTTCTTGATATATCAGAGAACTTTATTCAACTTTTTAGAACTAGACCTTTCTTTGATGAGCAGAAATGACCTTTGAAAAGGACAGAATTTGTCTTTATAGAGTTCATAATCATTCTCTTCATCATTGATGAGGTATATCTGCAAGTAGCTTTATTTTGTTACCCTGTTTATAAATAGAATTTCTGGTATTTAACCAACATGTTATTCAGCAATCTTAATGATTAATGTCCTTACCAGAGTTCATGATTGTCTTAACATTCTTTCTTAACTCTGGATAATCCTCATAAATTCTCCATTTGACCCAGTACTCAGGGGGTAGAATCAGGAGGATCTCTGTGAGTTCAAGGCTAATCTGGTCTTCATAGCAAGATCTAGGCCACAGCCAGGACTACATAGTAGGGCCCTGTCTCAAAAAAAGGAAAAGGAAAAAATTCTCCCTTTAACCTAAATATCATTAAAGTGGCCTCATAATGATTGCCTTCATTCAGTCTTTCAAATGTCTGCCTTGATTGAATGTCACGGTGCACTGTTGTAATCCCAACACTTGGGAAGTAGAGGCAGATGGATCAGGAATTCAAGGTCATTCTTGACTACATATTGAGTTTGAGGCTGGCCTGGACTACATGAAACCTCACTTGACTGTCTCCATCCTCACTCCAAAAAAACTCTGCCTTTTAAATATTTATTAACTTGTGCCTTTTCCAATTCTGAAAAGTTTTGAGGCAGTTATTTGAGCCATTTTTGTATAAAATGTACCTTTATTAAAGCTGGACCACTTGGCTGGTTCTCCTCCCCCGCCCCTTCCCTATTTTCTTTACTTTTTTCATACTTCCAATTTAATTAGCTTCCAGGATTCTTATACTAAAAACATCCAGAGTGTCTGTGAATATGTGCCACCAATGGGAACCAACATTTTTTTGTTGTTGTTGTTGTTATTGTATAAGATGGAGAAATATTAAATGCATCCTTCAGTCATGGAGAAAGGGCCAGGAAAATAACAGGTTTCATCACATGGCTCCCCATAAGTTAGGTACTGAACTTAGTGGAATTAGAAAGACTATTTTAACTACAAATGTACAAATGAAGTGCTTGTTAATGTGGTGACTCTAAAGCTGCCTAACAAGTTGATTTATTTCCCAGCATCATTGGAAGGCACAGATCATAGATAGGGAAATAGGTTTTCAGAGCTATGAATAAAACAGCTTACTCTCTGCTATATATGTTGGCATTGTCTCTTAAACTTTATGAGCATTACTGTATCTGTTGCTTACGTCTATCACTATAGGTGCATTTACTTTTCTAACTGGCAGAAAGGGTAATAGCATTATGGTAGAACCTCTCTGGGTTGTGCACTGCATTCAGAAGTAATACTCTGATCGTGCGAGGGACTCCAGCTTATTGTCGCAAGTGAACACTACTTTCTTTTGTCTTTCCTTTAAATACAGCATTTTTTATTGTCTTTTAAAAATGGACTTGACTGTCGATAGAATAGTTTTCTCAAGTAGTCATTCCACATTGCTGTATAGCATCTTTAGATTGTAGCTAGACTAATGCATAATTAAAGTAGCATGCAGCCAAGAGTCTCTTTTAAAATGAAAGTAGCTCTTAGCATTGTATTGACATTGCATCCTCCTCAAGTTTATTCTAACATCCTTAGATTTTACTTTCCCTAGAGGTTTTCTATGTGAAGGACTCATTGAACCTAAGAGGATAAAGAGGGCTTTAGGAATAAAAGGGAGAAAGAGGCCCTAATTTTGATGTTTCTAGACCCATGAGTCTATATTTTGTCATCAAAAAGATCCACTTATGGGTAGAAAGAGATATGTTTCTTCTGGTTTACTTCATATTAGCTCTTGCCAATGCCCTAAACCAATGAGTTTTATCTTTATGTATTGCATGCCTATCCATTCATCTGTTAGAATTCCCTTAAATACTGTTTCAGATAAAAAGGCTGCAGGAGTTGCTGGGGAGATAGCTCAGTCAGTAAAGTGCTTGCCATGCAAACATGAGGACCTGAGTTTGATCTCCATCACCCACATAAATAGCCAGGCAATGGTTGCACATACTTGTAAGTCTGTGCTCAGAGGCATAGACAGATGGGATCCTCTTGACTTGCTGGCCAACTACCATAGCCTAATCAGCAATCCCCACGTCACAAATAAGAGACTCTATTACACAAAAACAAGGTGGACAGCAACAGCCAAAGTTAACCTCTGCCCTACATGGACACATGTATGCACCAGCGCGTACACACACACACACACACACACACGCACAAAGGCTCTAAGAACTTGCTTGGTCCTAGCTATGATGGTGTACACCTTTAATCCCAGCACTCTGGAGGCAGAGGCAGGCAGATCTTTGTAAATTCAAGGCCAGCCATGGTAACATAGACCCTGTCCCCAAATAGAACTTACCAGGCCTAGCAGTGCATTCCATTAATCCCAGCATGTGGGAGGCTGAGGTAGGTGGATCTCTGTGAGTTCAAGGCCTGCTTGGTCTACATATTGAGTTACAGGCCAGCCAGAACTACATAGTGACACCCTGTCTCAAAATTTAAAAAAAAAAAAAAAAAAGCTTGATTAGATTATAGTGACCAAATTTGCATGTGGGACTTCTTTTCTATTTTCCTTCCTTAATTTTTTTCTTCTTTCTTTTTGGTCTTTTTGAGACAGGTCTCCCTGTAGCCCCAGCTCTCCTGGAATTCACTATGGAGACCAGACTGGCCTTGAACTCACAGAGATCCACCTGCCTCTGCCTTCCGAGTGCTGGGATTAAAGGCGCACCCAGGAATATTGATATGTAATTAAATTTTCACCTGTCCCGACTTTTACAGTTCAGGTTTGGGGGGGTTGGGATTTTGTTTCTTTTGCTTTTGCTTTGAGCTCATTCTGATATACAATTTATCCCAGGAATCATAATGAGATGGAATAACAGTCCTTACTTTTACTTTGGATATACATGTAGTCAAATATATTTACTCAAGAGAACCAAGATTTCTTATATGAGAACATCACAGGAAAGTCTTAAATCTGACTGTGGAAAATGTGTTTCAAGGTAGCAGTAGACTGTGACACATTTTTTTTTTTTTTGCTTCATTTTAATTTTATATGTATATGTGTATTGGGTGCATGTATGCAAATGCACCCATGTTCTGCAATGCCCATGGAGAACAGAAGAGGGCGTCAGATCCCCTGGAACTGGAGTTACAGACGGTTTTTACCTCCATGTCGGTGTTGGGATTTGAACCTTGATCTTCTGCAAGAATAGCCAGTGCCCTTAACCGCTGAGCCATCTCTCCAGCCCCAGACTGTGCCACTTTTAAAATACTTGTGCAAATTATCTGAAGAGAATAATCTTCCTTGTTGTTTTACAATCTATGTAAACAATGCCATTTCTTGAATGAGTCTTTGCCTTATAGTAGCACTTCTCAAAACTATAATGTGCGTGGAGATCTTGAACAAGAGACTTCCTGATTTAGTTAGGCTATAGCAAAACATTGCCATCTGCATTTGGGGTTTTTGTGCTTGGGTTCTCTTTTTCTTACTATTTCTTCCCCCTCCGTGTGGTGGGGCGGGGGAGTAAAGGGAAACTGGGATGTTGGTCTTTGCCTTCCACCATATTTTTGAGGTAGGGTCTCTCTCGTTTGCCACTGTGCTGCATACTGCTGGTTAATTGGCCTGCAAGTTTCCAGGGAATTTTTCCTATTTCTCATCTTCTCATCAGAGTGCTGGGTTTACAGACATATCTCTGTATCCTGCTTTTTATGGGTTCTGAGGAGCTAAACTTGGGTAGTCAAGCTTAGCAGCAAGTGCTTTTACCCACTGAACCATCTCTCTGGCTCTTTCTTTATTTTGAGACAAGGTTTTGCAGTGGCCCAGGCTGGCATTTGAATTTAGGATCCTCCTGCCTGAGCCTCCCAAGGGCAGTCATATGCACTCCTAACAAGTTGATGATACCAAGTGATACTGAAGTTGCTGGTTCATGGACTGACTGCCTTTAGTATAGTAAAGACAGAATCCCTACGGTCATGAACCTTTTCAGTTTGATGTTTGAACTGTAACCGTTGGAATTCAGATTCCTGTGTCTCTTGACTTTGGTAGTAAATACTCTCCTGGAAAGAGGAGAAAGGGCATACAGTAATTGAGAAAGGGCAAGAAATTTGTGACTTAAGCTCTTTACCCTCCAGGAAGAAAAACAAGTGGTAGTGTTGCAGGACAGAATGGAGAACAGGCCCCAAAGACTGGAAGCAAAACAGGAAGCAGTTACTGTACTGGTAGAGCATCTCTGAGAGATTTCTCTAAAGCAGGACCCTGAACAAAGAAAAACTCATCTTTTTATACTTTTTTTTGCTTTTCACGTCTCTTACAGATAACAGTATACTTTTTCTTTCTTTTTTTTTTTTTTTTGGTCTTTTTGAGACAGGGTCTCCCTGTAGCCCCAGCTGTCCTGGAACTCATTATGTAGACCAGGTTGGCTTTGAACTCACAGACATCTGCCTGCCTCTGCCTCCCAAGTGCTGGGATTAAAGGCGTGCACCACCACGCCCGACCCAACAGTGTACATTTTTTATTTATTTTATATGTATGAGTGTTCTGCCTGCGTGTAAGTGCATTCGTGTCACACAATGCCCATGGATGTAAAGAGGGCATCGGATCCCCTGGAACTTGAGTTGTTGCTATGGTTGTGAACCACCATGTGGGTGTTGGGAACCGAACCCAGGTCCTCTGCAAAAGCAGCCAGTGCTCTTAACCACCAAGCCATCTCTCAGGCCCAGCAGTATACATTTTGACCAGTATTTTTAAAAACACTGTACGTGGATACAAAATGACTGGAATGCTAGGGGTAGGGGAAGACCTTGAGGGCTTAAACAGGAAATATGCAAAAATGCACATACTACACAGACATCATTCATACCTTATGCTAGTACATCAGGAAATAGTAGAATTTGACCCAGTCTC